TCCTGCCATGCCAGGTGGGCCTCTGTCTCCCGCCCTCACTGTTGACCTTCACCCCTGTGTTTGACCTTCAACCTGTGGGCTTTTGCTCATGCTGCTCTCTTTCCCGGGGTCCCTGCTCGTCCTCAAGACCCAGGCTATGGGGCTGCCCCTTCCGGCCTTGGCTGTCTGTCACCCTGGAGGAGCCGCTCTCCATCGCCAGCACAGCTTCCTCAGCGGGGTTCTTATGGCCATCTTAGGTCACTCTCCATCCGCGGCCACATCACTTGTGGTTCTTTACTATGATCGCTCCTTTGTCTTTCTCTCCATGGTGACTTTGTACTGTGTCAGCTTAACTAAGCTGGACCCTCATCTTTCAGAGTTCCCTTGCCCGGATGGTCCCAAGTTCCTGTTGGAGGGGAGGGGGATTTGCATAAAATTTGGCAGGTGCACGCCCAAGGGCACCCATTTTGGACAGACTCTGTTATCACCACACTTCCTGAGGAACACTAAGCCCTGCTCATCGCTTTCCCCTATCAGCCCTCCCCACGCCTGTCACGGCCCTGAGAGCCTTTATGGAAGAGCTTTATGGGTTCCATTTGTAGGGTGCTCGTTGTTTCAGAGCAGAGAAAGAGAAGAAGCGATGAAGATAGTAAGAAGTAGAGGGAGGAGATTGGGTCCTTGGCAGATGCCAGCCCAAAGGCCAGGATTGCACAAAGCTTTCTCTTGTCCAGTGAGATCCACCTCCCATGATGGGATGCTTCGCCTTATTTAGAGCAGCCGTCTTCTCTGCCGTGTAGGTCGGAGTGGCTGCCAGGCCCTGGGAGGGCTGGTGTGTAACTGCTGCAGGTCAGTGGGCTCTTCTTGGTGGCAGAAGCACATTTAAATCACTCCATCCATCTATCCATCCGTCCATCCACCTGTCTATCATCTACCCATCCATCCATCCATCTATTCATCATCTAGGTTTATCATCATCATCATCACCTATTTATCTTCATCCATCTAATCTACCACGAGTTCACACTGATTTCTTCTATTCCAATCCAATGCCACAGGGTTTTTTCTAGCTTTCCCCATATTTGCTTCCTCATATTTCACTTCAATAGTGAAAAAACTTATTCGCATCAACCTCAGTATATATTTTTTTTACTGTGGTAAAATACACAAAACATATAATTTAGCATTTTAACTATTTTTAAGTTGAAGGGTAGTAAGTACATTCACACTGTTGTGCAGCCGTCACCACTCTCCAGCTCCTGAACTTTCTCATCTTCCCAAACTGAAACTCTGTCCCCAGGAAAAGCTAACTCCCCATCCCCCACCCCAGGCCCTGGTAACCAAGTAACCTTAATGTATCTCTGCTCAGTTCCCTGTAGGGAGCCCAAATACTGGACAGGTCACCCCTCCCCACTCCCTCAGCCAGAAGCACCACGCAGGATTGTTCAGTGTTGCCCACTCCAGGAGGAAGAGGGAAGGGAAGGAGGAAAGGCCACTTATTCAGAAAGCATGGCTGCTGAGATGCCCCCATGCCCACCCTGGCCACTGGGTGTGCCAGCCCGAGCAGGCCCCGACCTGCAGCCTCCCCGGCTGGACGAGCAGCCCAAGCTCATCCTGACAAGGGATGGGAAAGAGGTCAGGAGGCTGTCAGACAGCCTGCTCTGGTGTCAGCTCCTCCACCAATGCAATGGCCCCAAGCTGTGAGGACACTTGGGGACCAGGAGCTGGGCCCCAGTACAGCGGATGAGGAGGGGAGGAGAGGAGAATGGGAGGGAAGCACAGATAACTGAGGTCCCCCCCCCAACCTCCTGCCCCTTAAATACACCTCTGGCTTCCACTGTTCCTGTGGAGACTCAGCTCTCCACCCCGTTGCTGTGGTCCTAAGATAACACACCCTTTCCTCTGGCTGCCCTGAAGACCTGCCTCTTTGCCTTCCGTACTCAGCAGCTCTGCTAAGCTGGCCCAGGTGTGATTTCCCCCTCTGCACATCTTGGCGTTCTTGGTGCTCCTGGCAGCGTGCTGCCCTGCCTTTGATGGTTTTTAAGAATGGTCATGGGCCGTGGTCTCTTCCAAGATTTCCTGCCCCACTTTTTTCTTCTCTTCCGGGACTCCAGTGACGTGCATCTTGGACCCGTTCACCTCGTCCTGAATGCCCAACTTTCTCTCACATTCTCTCCTCTGTTTATAGCCTCCTTTCTCTGTGTGTCTCGGTCCATGAAAGTTCTTCTGAGCTCCGTCCACTCTCCTAATCCTCTCGATTGCTGTGTATGATCTGCTCGGGTATCATTTTCAGCCAGTTCATTGTTCCTTTCTAGAACTTCCACTTCATTTTATATATATTTATGACTTTCACTTTTCTAGTGAAATCTCCACCTGCTCATTTCAGTACCTGAATAGAGCAATCACATATGTTTTTAAAGAATGTATCTCATAACCCCAAACTCTAGAGTCCTGTGGATCGGCTTCTATTGTCTGCCTTTATCTTTTGGTTTTTAGTAATTTTTTTCTTATATTATCTTGGCTAGGCAATTTTATTTATTTATTTTTTTTTTGGTGAGGAAGATTGGCCCTGAGCTAACATCTGTGTCTATCTTCCCCTATTTTGTAGGTGGGATGCCTGCCACAGCATGGCTTGATGAGTGGTGCCATGTCCGCGCCCAGGATCCAAACTGGGGAACCCTGGGCCCCTGAAGGGGAGTATGCAAACTTAACCACTGTGCCACCCGGCTGACCCCCTGATGGTTTTTGATTGAATGTTGATTACTGCATATGAAAAACTGCAGAGGCAATTTCAGGCTCTAGATGTACCATCTTCAGGCAGCATTTTCTTTTACTCTTGGCAGGCATGTGGGTGGGGCAAATTATTTTAATCCAACCTGGGACTGAGTTGATTCGGGGCTGCATTTCAGGGTTTTTTAAATCAGGTGACTAAATCAGATATTAATATGTTTTGTGTTTAGGATCACAGATTTGAAATTACTGTGTACCTCTTGGCTCAGCCTGACAAGAGAAATGTGAGTTCACAGCTTAACATTCTCAAATTGTGGCAGCAAATAAGTCAGTGAAAAGTCAGCCCCTGCGTCTGAGGCCACAGTCCTGGGCGGGAGGAGGGCAGGTGGCTGTGGCTGTGAAGGAGGTTTTGGTTGGTGGGGGGCGGGGGGGCCCGTGGCCAGAGGAAGAGCTGCGGGAGGAAGCCTTTGTCACTGGCTTCATTTCCAGGCCCAGCACAGTTCTTCATGAGTTTTATTTTTTCTTCTTTTGCAAGAACAAACCAACCAAACTAAAGTGGGGAATAGTCTTTGTTAATCTCCTGCCTGGACACCAAGCATGGGCTGGGTAAAATGGGAGATAGGAGTTCGTTTAACTTTTTCCATTTTGTGCGCAGCACCTACGTACGTTGGTCTCCCTCCCTCCCTCCCGTCTCTCTTTCACTGTCTTTCTCTCTTTCCTTTCTTCCCCTGATGCATGGAATGATTACAATGTTTGAAACACAAAACTGGACTCCAAATAATGAAATAGTTTATGAGGTGAGGCCGGCCCTGTGGCTGAGTGGTTAAGTTTGTGGGCTCCACTTTGGCAGCCTGGGGTTTGCTGGTTTGGATCCTGGGCATGGACCTGCACACTGCTCATCAGGCCATGCTGTGGCAGCATCCTACATAGAAGAACTAGAAGGACCTACAACTAGGATATACAACTGTGTACTGGGGCTTCAGGGAGAAAAAAAAAAAAGAGGAAGAGTGGCAACAGATGTTAGCTCAGGGTCAATCTTCCTCACCAAAAAAAAAAAAAGGGAAATGTATAAAAAAATAGTTTATCAGTTAAAACAAGAATTAAATCTGTAAATTATATCACCCATAAGCTATTGTGGAAAACTCCCCAGCTCCATTTGGACAGCGTCTGTGTCTGAGTTATCTTTGCGGTCTATACCACCTGACACACAGCCTTCTCCCAGAGATGCTCTGTCATTTCATTTCTTGTTGCTGGGTGTGACAGTTTATGGAGATGCCCCATGTGGGGTAAACACCCGTCTGTCCACTGTCTAGTGTCCGTTCATAAGTATTTTGCATACGAGAAATAGCTGTCAGTGGCAATGATTAGTTAGTTAGTGGGTTGATTTTGACTAGGGATTCAAATAAAAGATTTGTCTCTTCCTCCTCTGTATCATATTAATTTTCTTATTAACCCAACATAGAGTTTACTCTCAAGTCCTGTCCTGTTAGTTCAGAGGAGACTTGTTAGTTACAGAATACAACAATTATCTCATGTTTAGCAGCACAGCTGTAACTTTGTGACAGCTCGTATCAAACTGCTCCTATTCTGAAATTCATACAAGGTTACAAACCAATGTCACCTCAATAAAAAACAACAACAAAACTGCTCCAATTTTGAAATATAGTGTTGTTTTACCAATCCCTGTTTATTCAACATCCTTGAGCAAAAACCGAATGTAAAAATAACATTGACTTGATGGTTGTTAACTTAAAAGTCAGTGTTTAATGATGGTGTTTATAGTTGTCACTGCTGATGGGAGATGAGACCGCCTTCTTCCCAATGCAGAGGTGCTGCCCTCTGGTGTGAGACCTTGAGCGCCGTGACACCCTTCACGCTGTGTCTAAGCTGGCGAATCTAATTGCGTTTGCCTGAAGCCAAAAATATCCCCAGGCAACGATAATAAAATATGTTTTACTTTAGAAACAAAGTTGTTTCCAAAGTGTGTTGGGGCAGTGCCTTATTAATGCATAAATCCATAAAACAGATTTTCTGGGTGCCAATTACTTAATTCAAATGAAGACACCCTGTTCAATTTCTTCACGGTTATTATGGTGAAAGCAGGCTGGCACTTCAGAACAGGAGATGTGCAGGGAATGGCTAAACTCAAAAGCAAAATCCAAATCTCGCCTCCGGAAGCTTCAGTCACTCACGTTTCAAATAGAGACGACCTGAGGGTATTTCACAGGCAAGTTGCTTGATCCAGATTAGGAATGCAGAAGAATCTAGAATTTTGGTTTGTTTGGAGTATCTTAGGAAACTACCTTCTTTGAATACAGTTAAAATGAGCTCTTGTTAGAGCTAAGCATTTTAAATATTCCGTAAGTTTTTATAAAATTACAGGTTGAACATCCTTGGTGAGCCCAAGACCACCTAGCAAGGCTAGTTGGGGAGAATTTAGGGAGCACTGGAGAAGGTCAAAGATTCACCAGGAGGAGCGTCTGGTGTTAACAAAGGAGAATCACGTGCGAGTAACAGGAGCTCCAGCCAAGGAGACTCTGTGTCCTGCGTGGGGGGCTTACTGCTCAGGGCCAGCTGACCCAGCGGCGTCCAAAGGTCCAGGCTGCCTGCGTGTGGCTCAGGTCAGAGTCACCCAGGGACTTGGCGCTGGCAGCGATTATAGTAAAAAAATGAGGAGCAGTGGGGTTTGAAATAGAAAAGCAATATGGACACAACTAGAAGGACCTGCAACTAAGATATACAACTATGTACTGGGGGAGGGGGTTTGGGAAATAAAGCAGGAAAAAGAAAAAAAAGATTGGCAAAGTTGTTAGCCTAGGTGCCAATCTTTAAAAAAATAAAAGAAAAGCAATATGGAGACAGAGGTTGAAAAAAACCGTCACCCGGGTGATCTCTCCCGCAGCGTAGGCACCTAGAATTTTTTCAGTTTCAGAACGAAAATTTACAAGCTGATGGGAAAGACGTCCTCTGGGGTTGTTCCCATCCTACATGTCTTCGGCAGGTGTGTTGAGAAGGCAATGCCCTGACTGCTCTTCCCCGCACCATTTCTCAGGCCGAGCTCAAGCTCGCTGTTGGCAACCTTGAGGGTGAGGCAGTATCTTCCTCTGGGATCAGGAGCCGCTGCCGTACGTTTGACTGTGAAACAGCGGGTCCCCAAATTCAGCGTTTCTCTGCTGTGACCAAGCCCGGAGCTCATGCAGTGTCCATCTGGCTACCACACACAGGCCCAGTGGAAGTTGGGAAACAGAGCGCATGCTGATGGTCATGCTGTTTCCCGTGTGGTGAGTAGGAAGGTTTTCTGATCTGCAAGTTTCACATCTTTGAGCCACGTCAACAAAACAGTAACATGCTAGCTTATTAGCTTGTAAGTAAAGCAAAAGAAATTCTGTGACCCTTCGCAGACCCAACACTATTTTGGAGTAAACCTTCTGTCTGGTAGTTGAACCTAAGCGCAGAATCCACGACTCTCTCTCTCTCTCTCTTTTTTAACTACAGTATCTCCAGCATGGTGCCCAGTACATAAATGTTGTTCAATCAATATTTAATGGATCAATGAGTGACTGGTAGAGACACAGAGGAGCTGGATGCATTCATTCATCCAGTTGGTCACCTATAAGTGGATGTAAGAATATTGTGGATGTATATTCGGTGTCACACGCTTTATGGGGAACCAGAGATCTAAACAGGAATTTGATATATTTCTTGTGCTCAAAAAAGCTCGCAATCTGATCCCAAACTGGTTAACAAATAGATTCTGCTTAGTGTGACATATTATAACAGATGCAAGGTTGAGCATCGTTTTGGGAGAAGAAAGAAGACAGTGATCAGTTCACTTGGGAAGGACAAGGGAGACCCTCCGAGGTGACAGTTGAGGTAACTCGAAGGCTTGGCAGGAGTTTGCTAAGGATGGGGCGCCCAGGCGAGGTGGAAGGCTGTTCCACGAGAGTGAACAGCAGGTACCAGGTGAGCTGTGAGACTGAACGGCGCACGAATCTGGGAACTGCTAGTGATTTGTTAGAGCCGGGAAATCCAGGGCACAGTAGGCACGGGAAGAGACTCAGTTGGAGACGGGAATGGGTTCAGATGATGAAGAGTCTTGTGACAAGGAGCCATTGAACATTTTAATGGAGAGGCCATTCCAGATCTGAATTTTAGAAATGACCTTTTGGCAGTATGGGACAAGCCAATGGAAAATCGATGTTTGGTGAGCACCAGGAGAGAGGATCCTGGAGGACTATATGATTGATTGTGATAAGGAAGATAAATGAGAGAGAGAGGAATGGACACCAGCTGCCAGCCGGCAAGTGGTGCCCCAAAATGCCTACACGGGAGCCAGGGTCTCAGTTCCCAGGGAGACGTGGTGCTCGGGCTGGGGGTCTGGTGTGGAGAGATGGAGGAATGGGTAGCAGGGTGGACACTGGAGAACGGGGCAGGAAGGACAGGGAGAGGTGGCTGCTGACAGCAGCGTCCCTTCCCCTCAGGGCTCTTCAGCATGTGGAGTGTCTGTGATGGACGCCCAGGAGGAGGGCGGGAGCCGGGCCAAGAAAACATGCAGAAATGTGTGCATTTGGAATGTGGTCTGCATTGTCGCTGAATCTCCGCTTTGCAAAGCGTGTTGTTGGTATAAAACTGAATTTTTCACACTCTAAATTGTAAAAGACCATAGCGGTGTAATGAGATCATTTGGAAATGGATTTTCATTGGCACTGGTCTCTAATTTTTCAGGGAAAATCCATCTAGCCAATTTTAAACTACCATGAAAGTCGTATGGCGCTCTCCCAAGAATTTGGCTGGATGGCAAGGCTTGAAGTAGTGTCTTCGGAAATCGTGGCTTCTTTCCTGATACAACATCTGTGTGTTGCTCTTCACCTTAACCAAGAAGCAGGGAACAATTCTCTGAACATATTAAGTGATGCTAACTTCAGAGTTCGCAAAATAAAAATAAACAAAAATAAGGAGCAGAACTCTTTCCAATGCCCTAATTTTCAGAAGGCAACTCATTTAAAATTTCAAACAAGGAAAAGCAAGCTGAAAACATCCCAATTGTTGCACCTGACTTTTTCTAATCATTGCTTCTCGTTTTGAGGTTGTGTTTTTTAATTAATAGGCTATTTTGGGGGAGCATTTTCTTTTACAGAAAAATTGAGTGGAAAGTACCGATGAAAATAACAGTAAGAAGTTTTCACATATTGAGGGATATGGAGAAACCATTCTGGTTTAAATCTGATTTGGCCTAAAACTTGTTTTTCCCAGAGCAGCCTGACTTACGGCCCACCAGACAGGTACCGTACATCTGTTTCAAACATTTTTCCCAAAGCAAAGAATGCCCTTTTTAAAGATAGAGATGAATGTCTCCCTTTCTCTGACACGGATACCAGTATTTCTTTGAAGATAAGCTTTGCTGCCCAGAGAACCAAGGGCAAGTTGACCTGCTGCGTCTGTGCTCCAATGCAGCAAAACATCTCCTTGTGATTTTGGGGAAAAAAAGTGTATTCCTGTCATGCTGGATGTATGTTCTTTGTTCTGAAATGATATATAACCAAGCTGTAAACTACACTTCTCCAGAGCACCTTCTTCCCTGGGGAGGATAACACTTCTGGGCTAGTCCTCACATTAGCTCATTAAAGCTCTCTCGTATCTATAGATTTGTTATTGACTATTTGTGTCAACAGTCCTGAGTTCCCACATACCTCTCCCCTCACCCCCCCTCCCCCGTGCCCCTGTTAGTAACATTTTGCATTCCCGTGACACATTTGTTACAATTGATGAGCCAATATTAATACATTTTAAACGAATATCATGTAACTTTCTTTGCACTTTGACTGAGCCCTGGGAAAACAGTGATAGACCATATGTGGATAAAAGTATAAAGTTTTCAATGAAATACCAAGTAAATTAAAACTTTTATTGACGGATTATAGGATTAAAGACAGGAAAGTATATAAAGCTTTCTTTAAGTGTGTTATAGAAAGCAATAGGCTAAAAGGGAGACTAAAATAGTAGATATGTGTTCTCGATTTATTTATAAATGCTTTCTCTTACCTGAACATTTTTATACATCGTGATTGTTGTAATGTGAGTTAAACGGAAAGGGCACGCACAGGGATTCAGTTCCCTCAACAGTCCTATCACACCAGGACTCAAGGACGTCAGCAGAATTCCCAACCAAGCACACAGCTCACTGGGAGGAAGCTAACAAGTGGTCTCACCAGTGGTGACTTTCACTCCAGATGCTTCCTTCACTAGCCACCTCTGTCAACGCACCTCAAAACCTCACCGAGGCTGGAGCAGGCGGAGGGGAGGAAGCGGCGGCAAAGTGCACGAAGCACCGTGCCTGAGAACCTGGGGCAGGTGCTGTGACAGCGAGGTGCCCTCCCTCAAGACCTTGGTCCGTGCTTCCGCGGGGGTCAGAGGGAGAGAGACTCAAAGAGGGAGCCACCTACCGTGATATCCCGCAAGAGCTAAGGGACAGGTGGAAGGAAGGCTGTAGATGCCTGGGCAAGCGGAAATTTCCAACTAAGGGGGTGCGAATCTGGAAGGCAACAGACAAGAGAAGGCGGCCAAGGCACAACAACACACTGACAGCAAGGGATCAGGGCCTGACTAGAGCAGGGACAGCCCACACCCACCGCAGGAGATGACTGAGTGCTGCTGGGTTGGTGGGAGCTGGAGCCCCGGCCCCAACACGGGGCCTGGGGTGACTCCTGACACTCCACAAGGCCCTGTCCACTCAGGCCAGATCTGTAGACCGACACAGTGACCTGACACGTGTCTCCTCTCATTGCAACTCGAGACAGTCTAAAACAACCGTTTCCTAAATACCGTAGCATTTATTAACTTTAAACTCACTTTCATCTATGCCATTTTTGCATACAGATGAAATCTGTAGGCTTAAGAAATGTCCATTTCTTCTTAGTAGATGGAGAAACTGAGGCTATTTCAACAGTGAAATAGATAATGGAGGAAGGGTGCAATTGTTTTCTGGATAAAACTCTTTGGTCTATGTAATTTTCCTGAGTTTAAAATAACACGAGAATTCACTCCAATAAAAAGCAAACATTAGTTTTCTCAAAAAATTTAATTGCAGAACTATTTACAAGAGGTGAACTTCAGCAATACAGAAATTGAATGAAAGGCATTGTCATGGACCAGTTATGGAGGAAATGGTGAGCACATTTTTCTTATAATCAGCTGAGAGTGAAAAAAAAGTCATGGAAAAACAAGAACTCAAATAACGCAATCCTTAAAGGCCCTAAAGTATTGGCCAACATTCTGATAAGAAGCTATTAACAAGAAGCAAGAAATTGTGGTGACGAATAGCATACTGTACACTCAGGGTAGGTATCCTGCATGCTACTGAAGAGAATTTATCAAAAGAACCATAAAAGCATGAGAAAGAGAATTACATAAAAAAGTTGAATTCCAGTGAGGTGTGACTTTGTACAGACGTCGAATATTTGGCACTCTGTTCATCCTCATCGTTGATATGATTTCATATGTATATATATTTATATATATATATTTGTATATATATATTTTAAAACTTTAACTAAACAGCTAGTTTCCTGGTTCTAACATTCCTTGAATTTCTATAGGAGGCATTTAATTCAGTCCTCAGGCCACACCTGGGTATTTTGGCATGTAGTATGGGGGGCGGGGGTATGAATTGGTCTCTGCACGGGAAGGACCCGTCCAGGAGGAAAGTGGCTTAGCATTTGGAAATAAGAGTTCAAAAGTAGCCTAGGATTTACTACTTGTGAGGGGAAAGCTTTTTGAATTCAGCAAACCAGTTATAATGTGGAGGGAGAGCGACACACGTGCTGAGCCCTTTTAGAGTGATAGGACCGTAATATTGAAATGGCTGGGGCTGGGGCATGGTGGTGAGTGAGGGGTCAATCAAAGAATGGGCGAGTGGCATCCAGAAGGTTCCAGAAACAGTCTCAGAGCTTCCTTCATGTACATTAGCAGACAAAACCCAATATACACTATGGCCTACTTGGAAGAGACAATTCGGTACCGAAATTTGCACAAGAAACCTGGCATAAATCTTTTCTTTCCTCTTTGCCTCTCCTCCATCGGGTCCATGGAAGCCTGGACTCCCAAGACTGTCAGGTTCGGAATAAGCACCCATGATGAAGAGTCACATAAAATCTAAGAAAGTAGGGAGGTAAACCTCTGTTACCTTAGTTTGCGTATATACAAAATCTTTTAAAAAGTAGTTTTATAGTAGGTAACTAACATTTCCTCTGCAAAGAAGACGTCTGTCAAGAGTTGAGATCGAAACTCGAAATAATTTCTTTGAACGCTGGATAAAAACGCCAGGGTTAGGAGAGCAATGCATAAAATTATGGGCATTTCTCAATGCTGTGAGGATGAGAAGATGGTTATTTCTTGGAGTGTCCCCATGGACCACTTCTGCATTCTCTGAAGTGTGAAATAGAGCAATTATAAAGAGCTGGAATCAGAGGGCAGACGTCACAGCTTTAGCAATTTGGTGAGTGTGTCTGATTCCGTTCTTGGCACTCTCCCGTGAGCTCAGTTTTCTGCTTCCAGATAATTTTTTTCTTCATCACTTTAATGTTTAGCTTAGTGTCTCTTATTTTTATCTAAGATGCAGCTGAGCTTAAGTGATGGTGAAAATGTCGCCTAGTTCTGGTTGGTGCCTGGTTTTTGTTCATGGAACCATCTAGAAACACTTGAAATCAAAGCTGGAGGAAATGGAGAAATGCCTCCTTGTAGTTATTTCTCCATTTCCAAACCTTCAAGAAGCTCTTTTTTGGTCTCCTGGCCACCCCAAACAGTATTGCAAAGAAAGAACCCCTGTGTCTGGTAGTCCTGGTTACCTCTGAGACAGTTATATCTGACTTGATGTCCTCGAGCATCCCACACAGCTGGGAGGATGACAACTGGGAAGAGGACCGTGGCACTCCATGTTTGACAATAACTGACACTTTGACGACCTGTTTCCAAGGAGGTCAAAGGACTGTACAGCCAACAGGTCATTAATCTTCATAGTCTGTCTGTGAGAGAGACAAGGGCCTGGAGGAAACGGAGACGTGACGTTAAGCTAAGGTTAACTTGGTTGCCTGACTAGCCGGCTAGAGATTTCTGGGCTTCCCATTCATTTCCAAAACATTCTGCAGCCACTCTGTGCTGAGGGGCATTTAGCTAAATGTGTCAAAGGGCACCTTCCCTCCGGCATTCTGATCACTGCCCACATTTACTGCAACTATCAACACAGCAAAAGTGACGAGCTGGGCCTCTTGCTGTGAAGGCACAGGGATCTGACTTGACCCTCGTGTCGTGCTTTATGACCAACGGTGCAGGGGAGCGGAGTGAAGCCGTTCCCATTGTTCCAGCCCCGTGGTCAGACACGCTCACCAGTCAGCAGCTGACTCTATTCTGGATCTCTTACCCTCGCGGTTTTCCATTTTATTTTCAAGTATGGGAACCCTGTATTCGACCAAACTTTCAAACAAGTGTAAACAGAGCCACAGATAAAAACAAAAGCAAACCCTCAGGGAGTCCAAAGGGGTATGGTTTGAAACCCACTGTCTTCAGCTACCTGATTAGTATGTCGAATTTGCAGTAAAAAGAAAAAAGCTGGAGATTCAAGGGTGGAGCAGAAAGGAGTTGGCTGGAATGAGCGCACATGAGGTATGTAGAACTTAGCCACGTATGTAGGCCCGTTTCTGGGAGACTTGACTCTGTGCTCCCGGCCGGGAAGGCTCCGCTTCTCAGAGCGTGGGCCAGGTGCAGCGTCTGTGTGCGCACCCTCAAACTCATCCTGCTGGGGCAATACTTTCACATTCACGGTGGGACGTGCGGCCCTTGGGCGTTTCCTGCTGCCTCCCCCACCGAGACTCGCGGAGGTGTCCACCCGTGAACAACGGCGCTGGCCACTCTGCGCAGCCTGGGGACGCGCGTGTTCCTAAGCTGATTCAGACATGGCACAGGGGACCGCATGTCCATTCGAAGGTTCTGGGAACCCGTCAGCACTCTGAACAAGGCAGATTGCTCTTCCTAGAGCTCAAATACCGTCTGCATCTCCCTGAAAAGGCTCCAGGGCCTCCAGATCTCTAGGGCCACATGGGGTCCCATCTGATTTGATGGGGTCACTGCCAGCGGAAAAAGACTTCCTGGTGAAGACCATTATCCCTCTCTCCCACTCCCTACTTGCCACCAAAAGGCGAGCACATATTCCATAGTCACCGCAGGCCCTTTGACCAGGTGTCTGCCATAGGACTGTTATTTCCTGGAAGGTTCCACCTGGGAGTGGGATGGGGTCGGGAGGCTCTAAGGGCCGGCTCACAACAGAGGAGATGAGTCGATACACAACGCAGGGTCTTTCAGTTAAAGTGACGGGAAGAGTGGCAGCTCAATATGATCCTGAGAAAGGCAAAAATCAAGACAGGGCACATGTGGACAGAGACCCCAAAGACACGGTCACACCGAACGCGTTCGTGTGCCCTGGAGCTGTGTTGTCTTCCAACCGTAATCTGGCCACTTCCATAGGAGCCAGAAGGGAGAGTCCTTCTACTTTTTGGGTCACGGATTTTGTGGCTATTTTTTTTTTTAAAGAGGGAGTCTTAAATGTAATTTGCTTTTTTCCTAATAATACGCTTTCTATTTAATGTTGGAAGTCTTTAGTATTGATCTTGAGGTGAAAACATCAACAACACTTCCTTTCAAACAAATATGTAATGTTTTGGTGTCATACAACAGTTTGATTCTTTATATATCATTCTAGATGGTTCTATAAACTTGCTGAGAAAAAAATGGTAACATCTGTCACTGATAACACGTACTTTTACATCAAACACAATGATAACAGATGAAGATGTGTGAGATGAATTACCCTGAAAGCACTCTTGTTCACAAAGGACATTCGCCTTTTCTGGGTTTTGCTAAACACTGGGATCCTGTTTATTATACTTGTGTTTTGACTTCGGAAGTTAACTAAAGCCTTCAACATGGCAAGATCAACTTGTGGGTGGGGAGGAAAACGATTTCCAAAGTAACACATGAGTTTTGACAGTTATCGCTGGATCTTTTGGGCATACAGGTAGGCGATCACAGAGAACGTCGCACTCTTTCATGGCAACCTTCCTAGAACGTGGTGCATTATCATTGTCAACCATATTCTCAAATCTGTGTGTCATCTTTTACTAAAATTACATCACAATGTGGTTAAATGATCACACCATAGCTCTGTGTTATGTGTCGGCTGGAAGTGACTGAAATAAGTCAGTGTGACTGACTAACACAAGTGTCATAAACAGTTTTATTTTTCTTTACATGTACAATATGTAAACATGGCTTGTCTTCTGCACGTCGGGATGGAAGGTCACCTGTGTGAGAACTGGATATATTGCACTTCATCATGTTACGTGTGAGCAGGTGACGCTCCAGCAGACCCAGCAACAGGCACCTGCTCCGCTGTGGCAGAACCTTCTTTGGAACACAGAGGACCAAACAGGAGTTCACACACGATCCCGCTTGCAATCGATGAAGCCGTCACATTTAGCTGTGGGTTAATCGGCTCGCCTAGGGATGGTTTAGGCCAAGACTTTTGGGGATTTTAAGATAAAAATAAGTATACAAAACATAAAAAAATTAATCCAAATCCAGTGAATACTTTCGTTCGAGTCAGGATCAGAGAATCTAGGATCTAAAATTGATAATTATTGTCCAAATTCATCATTTGTTGTTATATATTTTGTACAAGTTGAAGGAAATGGGATAAAACACCTCAGCTGCCAGTAAACACGCACGTGTGAAAGGTTGGCACGCATGTGTGCGTGTCACGTCTCTTCTTCCTAGGGAGTAAACATCGAATGTGCTTTCCGGTGCTTGTTTCCAAGAGCAGCTCATCCTAAATAACACACCGATTTTAAAGTCTAAAATGCCAATACTTGCAAATACATTTGTTTTTAACATAGTATAGTGAGTATAGGAAGAAGCATCATTATTGTACACTACTCAGGATTTAGGCATTTATTTAGGTAGAAAAAACGCTTTGAACACTCTGGGGAAATAGGTTTCATTTATAGAAGAATATTTCAGGGAATTTTTTTTTTTGCATTTTTTCAAGGATATACATTCGTACTGATTTTTGCTTCCAAATATATTTTAAGGCTGTTTGGTAAAATATATACCAGATATGAGGCTCAACTTACAGGGTTTTGTTCTTACAGGGAATTCTTAACTACTTGGCTTTAAAAAACTAAAACTTTGAAGATAAACATGCTTTAATATCAACTGTGCTCCAGTGAGCCCCATGCTTCGTGGAATGGAGAATATGAGGAAAAGGAAAAACCGTCGTCTTAAAGAATGCCCCAACCGTGTCAGTACCGCACTGAATGCTCTTGGTAATGTGATCGGGCCACAGAGAAGCTGGGTACATTTTAAAGTGCGAGTTAGGGGAGGACAAAGTGCTACAGGGCAGCAGCCGGCCTTCACGGCCGAGTACACGGTACTCCAGAAGCCGCAGAAGGAAGGCCTGGTGTTCTGGTGGAAACATCTGTCTTCCATCGCAATCCTGCTTTGACCTTGAGTTCCCGTGAGAACTCTGAGTTTGGGATCAAATGGATAAATGTCATAGGCTTTTCCTTTGAAGATGTGTCTGCATAGCGACACACGCGTCATGTTGGAGCAATGCTCACTGACTGCATCTAAGTTTAGTTAGACAAATGGAAAGCCTTCTCATTGGATTTCTTCCTATTTTTCTCTGGTGCCAATCGGAATCATGAGAACTCATCACCTAAAGTCCACAGCTGGAAATCACAATATGTGACCTTTTTTTTTTTTCATCATGTCTAAAACAGGCAAGAAATACATTCTTGACTTCAGCAATACTGCATAGGACAAAAGAATTCTTGAAAAATACAAATGTAAACTACATTTCTTCTTTACCATTTAAACTGAGATATACTTACCACTCACATTCATATTTCTTAAACTTTTTACAACATCACAACTGTCATTTTAAACAAGCAAACTTTTTGTTTTTTTGTGTTTTTTTTTTTAAGGATACCCTGGAAAGTCAACTAATAGAGCAGTCCGAGAATATATACACACATGTCGCATGAATGGTGAAACTTAAAGACAAAACCGTGTGCGATGTTTTAAGTTACAAAGGAAGAAAAAACACAATGACTCTTTCATCAGAGCAAGCATATTTTTTTTTTCTTTCTACTCCTGCTACAGAAGAGTTAGCTTGTCTGAAATCTCCCGTCTCTTCTCGTCTGTCACTCCCTGGTGTGAACGAATATTCAGCTTATTTTTGATTGTGCTGATGCTGGGTTGTTTGAAAGGGTTTGGACTTGTAAGCCCCTGGGCTTCAGGAGAACCACATGGTGGGGAGGTTGGTGGCTGCAGAGATGTCGTCTCACGCCATGAACTTGGCACAAGAAACCTAGCGATGGGTCACTGGATTCAGGGAATAGTAGCCCGAGGTTAGAGGGGGCGGGGTCTTCTCTCCTGCACTTCAAGCTGTAGCACCTTCCACTTGGGTATCTAATGCCTCTAGTGAGCGGTGAGATGCACCCATTTATAGTTATTTGTTATTCTTGCCTCTAATTATCTCACAACTTATAAAAATATAAATAACAAAATGTAAGCTGGGTTCCATCTCAAGAGGTGTTTCTCGTTATCCTCTGAGAACAGAGTGGCTAAGTTAGCTGTCCCCACGCCTATCCATCACCGCCGACGGCAAGTCAGACCATCCAGCGAGAAAAAAGGAGTCGTTCTGGCCGTGAGCTCGGCAAACCTCGGAAATCAAAAGCATTCCAGTGTGTTTATGGCACAAAGAACACGACAGCGAGGGCGTATTCGGTGGAGAAACAAGACAGAAATTACCAGGTGGGGGAATAAACTGTACAAGTGTTTTGTCAAAAAGAAAAGAAGAGAAAGCAGGTGAGAGTGGGCGCCTTCGGTTCCTAGAGCCGGGTCTGGGCCTCCGGGATGTAGATCTCGATGCTGTCGGCCCGCTCGGTGGCAGAATTCTGTCGGAAGGAGGCTGCCCTCTTGGCAGCCATGAGCCGTCTTCGGGCCTCTTGACGCTGTCTGTCGGGCAGGTCCAGAGACTTTTCTCTCGTAATGGGAAATTTCCCTTTGGGGGGCTTCTTTGGTATTGGAGGGGGCACCTTTCTTTCTTCCTGAAAAGCATCACAAGTCAAAATTGGGGGCGAGTCAGAGGAGAGCAGCACCAGTCCATGGACTCGGTCACACCTGGGTGACCACCTGTGCGTGACATTACCCTACCCACACCTATATCACACCTACCCAGATGTGCCCTGGGTCCTGACCCCCATAATCACAGCTTGCCTTCTGCATGGTATATACTTTGTATAACTTCCCTCAAATTCTTCAAGGTTGAGGGAGCAAAGCGTTTACAAACAAGAATATATGTTCTGTAATTAACGTTTAACATCTCCTTCCTCTCAGGTTTATTTTGACATTGCTGCTATGCCGTCTCTGAGCATTGGCAAATACGCACAATTTCAAGCTCTTGAGTATCCCTGGTATTTTGATGCCACTTGACATCCCTGTCATGTGCCACAGTCTGTTCAACAGACTCCAGAACTCCAAGGACGTTCACGAAAACCGTCCTACGTGGGTGTCCTAGGGAACCACTGGCCAAATTTCCTATTGTGGGCCTAAAACCCCTGACATTAACAAGATTTATATATGTAAGGTTTTTTGTTTGCTTGGTAAAAAGATGGACATAATTATCTCTGACCCTTAGCTCATATTCTCAAATAAGTCACACCAAAATATGTGTATGCTATTTTCAGAAAGATAAATTCCACAGTTCGGCAGCAAATGCAATATATAACACTTGCAACCAATCCGGGGAAATGTCTGTGTCCCAAACTGTGTTGTGTTATCTCATGTTGATCCTAATTAACAAAGTGGGACCTCCCATTGACTCTCCGTCCTAGTGGAGCCAGGGCAGGAACTCTGCCGAGACAATGTCCTTCCCAGCAAAGGGTACACCACGGAAGGAGCCAGAAACCTTCTTTCCCTCAGCAGGTATCTAGTTGTTGGGGTGGCGGGGACAAAGCCAGCACCGTGTCTTTTTCCCTTCAGCCTCCGCAAAATTCCAAAGGGGGCCAGAAGTGCCTGGACGCTGGGGGAGAGGAAGCAGCAGCTGTGCCAGTTCAGGGGGAACAGACGAGGCAGAATCCCACTGTTGCGTCATATTGTTTTTGGCTGGAAGATTGTTTTGGTGCCTGAAACTTTGTTCCCGTGACTTATTTTAAAATGACTTGCACCAGAAGCAATGAGTCTCCCCTGACTTTTTGGCATGCATCCCGAAAACGGGGTAATTAATTCATTAAACCTTCCGGCTATTCCAAAAGTTAATTCCTGTGTTAGCACACGCCTGTGTTTGCCTGTCTCTTCCCTCTTCTCTTGGTGGCCTCTGAAATATGGGGCTGTAAGAAATGCAGTTCCTGGCAGAGTCTCCTTTTTGAAGGGGCTCACAGCCTCGAGGGGGCCCTGCCGTTGGAGAGAGCTAAGCAGGTGCATTGCAAGTCCATGGGGTAGTGTCAAGAACCCCGCCAGAAGGACACGGCATGGGGCCCTAGTGGTGCTAAAGAGCTGCTCAATTATCTGGACCAGGGGTGCTAGATCCTCAGTAAGAAATGTTTCATTTTGAGGACCATTCTTTACATATAGCTTAGGTAGAAGGGGATTACGTTAGCTGTCAATTACTGAAGAACAAAAAATAGGAAGGATTAATACCTATCTGTAGACTGGTCTCGCAAGTTCTATGTTTAGTATTTTATTAGAATAACCGTTTCCTTTAGAACATTACTTATGTTCTCCTTCAGTTTAAAACCAAACCGTAGATTACCTGGACCCGCTTAGGTACCATTTAGGGCTCACGTACAACCTATGTATTCGCACACCCCCTGCCCCTGTGATCTGTGGTAAGAGGGAATTTGTCAGTCATCTGTGATGGCATCTACAGCATCCAGCCTGGAACTCCACTAAGACAGTCACCAGCACTTTTAGGGAAGAGTAGATGACGAGGTGGTGACTCTCATTCTAATTATGCAGATACACATCCTCAGCTATCTACTAAAGACCACTGTCCAAAAGTAGGTTGGATTAATTTTCTCTATCATTTTATTTTCATTGATAACACCTGTCTAGAAAAATCAGATTATAATGACTTAGAACTTCTCTAAAATGTGTTAGGAAATCGATGTATTTATTGCTAATTCAGACCTATCTATTAGCCCTGTGAACAGGGAAGAAGTGAAATCATAGGGTTCAAATTTAATGGAAATTTTATGCCTATTTTCAGGAAGTTTACATCATCAAACTCTTCAGTAAAGTTCCAAACATCTTCTTGTCTTCAACTGCAGCTGTGCAACCGGGAAGTTGACCTGAGTAGAACATGGTCATTGTACCCAGGCCTGAAACTTCCCTGTTGGAAATCATCTTCCTACAACCCAAACAAAGGTTTGATGAAAATAATTCAGAGGACAGGTGCCTAAAAGGCACAAGACTATAGGTTTACACGGGATGTTTGGCTGGTGTCTTCTCTGAATTGTCTGTGTCCAAGAGATACAGCAAGAAAGACACTTGTTTCCTACACACAGCCGATGAGTTAATTCCACCCCAGTTTATGCACACACACAGATATACGGATATGAAAATGGGACCCTGTATTGCTAACCAAAGACCAGCAACCGCATTTTAATGTAGTATTTGGAACAGACCATTTCTGCCACCGGATTAGCTCCCGGGACGCCCACCGACAGCGGCAGCGGGGAAAGCACACGGTGTGGCCATAATTACCTTCTTTTCTGGAGACTCGATGATCTTCCAGTCGTTGAGCTTCAGCTGGTGCAGCTCGTCGAACTTCATGCTGACGTCCTCGATGGACAGCTGCAGCATGTCCCAGTAGCCTGCAAGGTCCTGGGACGTCGGCCTCGGCATGGCACTGGGGTCCTGAGGACACACACGGGGTTCAGAACCATGAGAATCTCCAGCTGGGAGAGGGCTCGGGGTGGCTGCTCTTTCCCACGTGTGCCTTTCAGGGCATCCATTAGGGGGAAGCCTGACTAATCCCAATTCTGATGCAAATCTTCAAGAGGGCCCATGAGGATTCAATAACAGAAATAGAAAGTATTTGCCAACAGTTCAAAAATATGAAAAGGCTACGTCCTGGATGATTCCAACCTTATGCCTTTCTGGAAAAGGCAAGACTATGGAGGCAGTAAAAAATCAAGAGTTGCCGGGGGTTAAGGAGGAGGGGGAGATGCACAGGTGGAGCACGGGGTATTTTTAGAGCAGGGAAAATACTCTACATGATTCTATAATGGTGGATACATGTGATGATACATTTGTTCAAACCACAGAATGCACAACACCCAGAGTGAACCCTAATGTAAACTATGGACCTTGGGTGACGGTGACGTGTCAATGTGGGCTCATCAGTTGTGACAAACGCACCATCTGCTGGGGACGTTGATAATGGGGGAGGCTGTGCATGTGGGGGCAAAGGGGTATATGGGAAATCTCTGTACCTTCTGCTCAATTTTGCTGTGAACCTAAAACTGCTCTAAGGAATTCTATTATATAGACATATATGTAGTACGTTCACTCATTGTTTCATTTTGGAGATGCTGCCTCAGAACCTGGGAATGATGGTAAATATTAAAGTTTTTAAACACTTGACAGTTCATAAAAGGCACAGGGCCCTGTGTTTTTGATCTCCTGTTGATTATTCAGAGGCTGGTGCCTGGGACGGGGATGACGTGGGTCTGCCGTGGTGCTGGCGTCGGTGGGTTGGTGCTGAGAATGCGCTTGGACCAATCCTGCTTCCTTCTGATGGTTCTCTGATGGGTCTCAGCTCTCATTTTGCCCGTCAGCATGCACCACGTACTCAATCTGCCTCCACGATGAGGCAGGACGGACACGTCATCTCATGAAGGAGCGGAACGATCTAAAGGATAGGTTCTCTGTGCCCAGAAGGTACAGGTGATGCCACAGAGCCACAGACAGGCAGCCGTGGGCTGAATGTGCCCAAAGATGTGTCTTGTTTCTCTGCACACACAGTGCCTGCTGCGTGTACAGTTTCAACGAGCTGTCTGCATTTAAAGTTGGGTGAACTTCACAAGATCAGAGCACGGGTCATCTGGCTCATTCCCACACCGCACATCGCTGGCCGGTGACCGCAGCCTGGTGGGCACCTCTCTGGCGCCAGAGCCCCACGTCCTCTGTCCGATGCAGGCTGGCTTCACTCGGTCACCGCACCTGCCACCTCTGGCTTAAGGGTACGGATTTTTCTGCATGTGGTTCCCTCGATTCAGTGGGAGGCTATCTCAGATTAAACAGTCAGAGAAATTTCTGGTCGGTAAGCATTTATCCAAATTTGCTTAAAATATACAATTTTCAGTTTACTCATAAATTGTTCACATTAAGCACAACAGGAACTTCTGTTTGGTTTGCCTTAAACTTCCTTTAACCCACGTCTTAATCTGTTCTGGCTGCTAGGCTATCACACACTGGGGGCTTATGAACCACAGAAACTTGCTCCTCAGGGTTCTGGAGGCTGGAGCCCAGGATCAAAGTGCCCGCAGACTCAGGGGCTGGTGAGAGCTTCCTGCTTCATAGACGGCTGTGTTTTTGCTGTGTCCTCACATCAGGGAAGGAGAGGGAGCTCTCTGGGGTCTCTCTTATAAAGGCACTAATCCCATCGTGGTGGCTCCACCTTCATGACCTACTCACCTCCCTAGGGTCGCCCTCCTAACACCATCACATGGGGGTTAAGTCTCAACATGTGAATTTTGGGGGGGACACAAACATTCAGTCTATAGCAGTCTGGTTAGACATCCATAGCAAAATGATCACTTTTGACCCCAGTGTCATTCTGGGCACACAATCAGATGGCCGCTGGTGCTAAGAGAGAGGGTCAGAGGGTAAGACTAGCTGCCCGAAGCGACTTGCACAAATTGCCCTCGTTTCCTGATCCTCAGAAGTGAGAATTGCGATTCTGGGCGGCTTTCCGCAGTTTGAGGCCCGTTCTGTTGAGCCACAAGAGGGCCACATGGGCCGTGAGGATCCCTAGGAGCAGAGCACTCCCGGGTGCAGCAAGGGTTTCATGGATGCGGCCACCCCGAATGGCAGCTCTGACCCGGAGAAGAGAGGCTTTGGGTTTTTCACTTACTTGGATGAATCTGAACAACCAAACAAACAACTGCGGTGGGGCCGCATTCTGCGTGAAGACAGAACAAGGAGCCTGAGGGCCCACGGTCAAGGGCGGGGCTGGGTTGGTGGGAGGAGGGCTTCTCACACCACAGGACGCCTCTTTACGTCCCAATTCGAGCTTCTCAGGGCGGTTCGTGTTTCCTCCTTCTGGGAGACTTCACAAATACGACGAGCTTTCTTTCTGTAGCTTTAGGCATGACGGCGCCCAACGCGTGGGAAGGAAGCAGAGTGCCGCTCCTGTCAAGGCCCAAAGGCCGGACTGCGGGGCTCTGGTCGTGTCTTCAGAGAGAAAATCTAGAAAAGCATTCTGGGCAGCCGTGGTCCAGGCTCTCGTCGACGTCTGTCTTCTCTGTCACTCCACGAGGCAGAGGGAGCAGCCTTGGGCGCCCTGGGGGCAGAGGCTGTGGTGTAACGGGGCACAGCCAGGATCTGGTCCCAGGTCCTCTATTCTTTTTTGGGGGAGGTCGTTGCACCTGTATCCACTGGATGTTCAGATACCCTGATATGTTCACAAAATTTTTTTAATGGCAGCCGTGTATCATGCTGTTCCTTCTCCCCCAGCAAAGCGAGACAGTGCCGCATATCCCAGTCAATCGCAGTCACGTAGAGTTCTCTTAGCTCCCGGCTCGGACACCTAGGGTCCCTGTGATATGGACTCTGATGCTCCCATGTTCTGGAGCATTTCTCCATGTGGTGGTGGTGTGGCGGAGAAGGGCTGAGAAGCCCCAGTGCATGCCCCGTGGATCCTGCTCAAAGGCAGAGCTAGACCCACAGCTGTGAGTGCCATTCTGCACTTCCGCCAAGCTTGCTGCAGATGCCACCCTGCTGGTGCAGGAAGCACACACATCAACCTGCAAGCGTCAAGGGCAGACGCTTTCCAGGGTTGTCTCACACTGGTCATGCAATGAATTACTCGGACGCCCTTACCTTGAAGAAAGTCTGCTCTGTAGTCTACCCGAAATATCCAGGCAGGTTTTGACTTACTTTTTAGGGTCATTCCTTCGACTTAAAACTTAGTTACCAACCTAAGGCTTCCAGCCACCAGCAACGCTGCTTTTAATCGTGGGCAATTTGGCTTTGATGAGCAAGACATCTGCTTATCCTCCCAGCATCCCTCCCCTGCCAGGCCTGTCTTAGACACCCCCACCTCCCTTCTCCAACAAATGCTCCCGAGTTTTTTTGTCTAATCCTAGATGGAAGCCAAAATAAAAGGAAGTAGCTGTGTCAGATATTCCAAAACTCAAGAGAATTTTGTTATGGTTAACAAAAAGTGCAATCTGACGTGTGTAAGAGGCAGCAAAAACGTTAGGATGGAGACATTCTAAGTCTTCTGTTAGCTGCTTCTGGCAGAGAGGACGCGAACACTTTGTAGGCTTGAGGGACACACCTCTGCTGCGTGGAAGGAGGACACTTTGACGATCATTCCCTGCAGACAGGGACCACCTGTGCTTCCCCGACTCAGCGAGATGCGGTGCAAAGCCCTTTAGTGGCCTAAATCAGTTCTTTGAAGACAATAATTAAATAGATACTACAGTGGAGGCAAGCACATGCCTGGTAGACACGATAACTGGATGTCTTGATGGCTCTGTGTCTCCTTCTGCTCCCGCTTTTCACAGGTTGATTACAACTTCACATCATATGGGTGTGTTGGTGGCTCTTTAAATTTCGTAATGAACTTTAATGGGGTTAATTGGAGAATATGAGAGAAAACACACTTTTTAACAATCCTCCTAAAAGGGATGAATTGGCAGCTCTGACACGCTGTGCTTCCTTTGATGTAGAAGAACCTTCTATACGTTCACGTCTCCTTGCAAATTAAAAAATGAAACAGGACACAATCAAACCCCTCAGCACCATTGCTACGTGTGTGAAGTCTAGAGGGACCTATTTGCATTTTAATGAAAATGTTTGGTCTGAAAGAAATCAATGTATGGTTTGCAAAATGGCCTATAAAGTAATGTGAATACTATTCAGTAATTTCTCCAAATAAAATTAAATGAATACTTTCTTTAGTAAGATAAGATATATCTATAGACACACACATTCATACATAGATATAGTGTATATACATGTACACATATGTATATGCGAGTATATATGAATACATGTATCAATACGTGTATAGATACATGGTTTTCTTTCCTTTGCTTTTCAGGAAAATCAGAACCAAATTTAATGTGAACTGTATTAATAATCTAGTTTATGGCATATTCATTTCACTGCTAACTGTAAAATGTAAAGCCCGAATTATTTCTAAAATCTCTGTGAATGTAGTTGTTTGTGTTTTATTCAATCCACCTCATATCACCATCTTTATTTGTGACCTTACTTTTTAACTCCTTTCCTAAGTTCTCTGGTGGAAACCCAGCCACCAAGGCTCCACCTCACAGCGTGGGGACCTTTCTGTCTTCCCGCCCAGCCCTGCTCCCTCTTTGCCCAACACCCCACGGCCTCTCTGCCTGGGGTCACCTCTAAGCCGTCCCAGAGCCAGGGAGCACCTCTCTTCAATCAGTAGTCTCACAGGCATCCTTAACAAGCAGAAAGGCAGTGAGAAGGTAAAGAGAGAACATTCAGCTTGGTTACAAGGCCCGAGGTGACCTGAGGACTCACTTACCATGTTCTGTTGGCAAAGCCAATAAAACTGCTGGAATTTCTGGGACATCAGAAGCTGGGCGCTCCCCACGGCACTCCTGATCTTACCAAGAACTACGCGAAAACAAGAACAGGTTTAAAACGGGGTCAATTAAAGAAACCCAAGCAAAACCATTACCCCGGGAGCGCGCTATCGTCTCTTCCACCAGGGGCCACAGCTCTGCGTTCACTGTGGGGACACGTCCACCCACTGCAGTTTCCTTCCACCTGCTCGTCCCCGATCCACCATAGCAGCTCTGGTAGGTCCCAACTCCCGTGATGCGCAAAGGCACTTAGGAATCCGCGGGGAGACGTTTCCTACTCTAGACCCTGGGCCCACTCATCTCTGATCAGTTTTATCGCCTAAGCAACAATTCAAGTTATTCACAGACTGTCCACAGCATCTACCCCTACAGCCAGGAGCTGTATTCCCACCTGCTCCATTTTGTCTTCTCTGTTGCTGCTCCCTCAAGACTGTTTGCAGAACACAGATAACGACTAACTAGCCCAGCCACTCTCAAACTCAGATGCTGCTAGTGACGAGTTCAGCCCGTCGTCTTGGGCTTTCACATGAAGAGAGCCACGGACAGCTTGTGTCTGCCGACGCCAGGCGGGAATGGTGAAGGCTATCTGTTCATCACGACCGCGGAGGCAAGAGAACCCCCCCCACCCACATGATATGTGTGTTAAGATTTATCTACTTCAGGTTGGAATGCTTATGTGCTCGAGGTCTCATCTAGAGAAGACAGCGATTAGAGCTCAAACGGTCAGCACATGAGTCTCCCGGGGTCTTGTTACGAGGCAGATTCTGGCTCTGCGGGTCTGGGGTGGGGCCTGAGACTGTGCATTTCTCATGAGCATCAGGGCTGCCCATGCTGGTCCACGGGGTACACTCGACTGCGGAGGCTGTAGAGATTGTCCACGGAAGCAGAAACGGAGGTCCAGGGAAGTAGCTTCAGTTCCACTAGCTTTCCCCCAAATTTCCCCAAACCTTGGTAATTTTAACATGCAGTCTCCAAACCAACTGTTTGTGAGACTCATTCAACGTGCGTTAGAAACCGGCTTCAAAGACTCTGATGTCCTAACAGCCAAGCCACGCTGCTGCTGGATTCCATTTCCTAGGCCTCACTCTGGGGGAGAAGGAATCATAGACAGTGGTTGGAAACACCTTAAAATCCACATAAAGAAATGCTATGAGGCTATTCGAACCGATATCCCAGAAATAAACCTGCTGATGCGAAAAGGGGCTTATGACACGTCGTAACGTAAAGGAAGTCAAGCGCAGAGCAGCAGGTGCAGAGCAGAACTCATGTTTTAAAAACGAGGATCTGGCACTACATATAACATGTTCTGAAAAGTGCTCTTCTCCTGCGTAGGACGATGGACTTTGAAACGTCCTCATTTGTCCGTATTTTCTCATTTGTCTGCAATGAACTCAGGTTGCCGTTCCCCACAGCTTTCCTATGCAAAGTTTCACACATCCAGAAAATTCGAAAGAAAATTCTAAGAAGCACCTCCATCCCTGTCACTCGGCAGTTAACGTCCTGCCACGCGAGTGTGTTGATTTCTCTGAACCATCCAAAAACAAGCTGGAGCCAGCCCTTTCCTGCCATTGTCCCGTACCACTCCGACGTCATTATTGCCCCTAAGAAGCTAATAATTCTCTAAGAGCATCTAATTCCAGACTGCTTCTAGGATATTAAAGAAGAGTTTTAAAAATGTAACTTTTAATAAAAAGTGAATAAATTAGATAATCCTTTGGCATCCTTTCAGACTCAAAAAAGAAAAGGAATTGTATGCTGTCATGTATCGCTGTACCTGGCCCTCTGACTGTTACAAGTCCATTCCAGGAGGGGCTTGCTTCCCCCAGACCCCATCCAGCCTGCCCACTTCCTTGATCTGATTTGCCAGCAGCCAGCAGTGGGGAGGGGAGTGGGGAGGACGCAGGAAGGGAGCAGGAGCCCCCAAAAGCGGTGTAGGGCAGAGGGTAAGGGATGGGCTCAGGCAGGGTTTAATGTGCAGCGAGGAGAGAGGTGGGTAGCTGTGGTGGAGCATTTCCAGGAAGGGGTGAAAGTCCTTCATTCTTTGTCCACATTTTGATACTCAAACCAAATATGTTTCTGCAGCTTAACAAATGGAAATGGCAAACATTAGGATATATTGGAGTATATAAGGAAGACATTTGGTGTAAAACTAATTTGGCCTGACTTTGTTTTTCCAAAAGGGCCTGATGTGGCCATTAAGCCTGCTTTGTACATCTGCTGAAGCATTTGCTGTGTCCCAAAGACAAGAGCAAATGGCCTTAAGACATAGATGCAACTTCCCCCCACATGGCATTTCCTTAACGATAAGCATCTCTCCCTAGGCTAGGAACTGATTGCTGTGCCCACCCTGTGACCACACAGCTTGAGACAACAGACCTGCCACCTGCTGTGTCCACCGAGACGGCAGACCTACTACCTGCCGTGTCCATCAATTGCTGTGCCGACAGAGCAGTCTCCTGACTGTTGTAAAAGGGACATTTCAATGATATGTGAAACATGCTCTTTGATGGTATATAACCACTCTGTACACCCGCTTCTTTGGTGCCTTTCCTTCTTTGGGGAAGGAAGGCCCTGGGCTATATGGTCCTCACATTTGGCTCAGAATAAACTCACCCAAATTTTCATGTATAAATTGGTCATGGATTATTTGCGTTGACAAGCTCCAGTCTCATTGCTCTGTGTGAGGAACTATCTCTGGTTTTGAAATGTTGAATTTCCACTGTAAACCCCCATCACCAGCATGACTGATGAAAACGTTCAAAGAGACTCATTTTAACCAAGCTGACGCTGCAGGAAGATATGGGAGTGACAAATAAATGCACTTCTTTTTACGGACTCCATGCTTCCTCAAATGGTAATTAAGAAGTCAATCAGTTTTATACAATTTGAAGTTTTAATCCCTAATTTTCATATTCTTCTTAAAATGTAATTGAATGGAAGCATTCACACCAAGTCCTTCACTTTATAATCTTTAGCACAGCATGGAGAGACAGGCGCCATCTTGGTGTTGATTGAATGTAGTGAAGGGTTATTATAAAGGGTATAAATTGATTATTGCTGGGAGTGATCATGAATGTCAAACAGTGTAGCTGATGATGTGATGGCTAATGGCAGGAAGGTTTCGCTGTTCACAGAATGAGGATCATTCTATCTGAAACCGATCATTTAAATAGCTTCCAACAAATGCAAAGAACTTGAAGCAAAAATTCAACTCATTGTTTTCCACCACACCTCCCTAATTTTGTCATAGTTTAGATACATTTTCTTTCAAGAGCTGCAGATAAGGACTAATGCTTATCAGAATGCAAACTTACGAAGAACCTGATACAACCCTTGCCTTTGACGTACAAGAAATCTGATTAACTTACTTGCTCCTTTCATTTATTCTTCACGTGTCTTCTATAATTTCCAATTCTACCGAAATTGCTATGAAGTGCCAGGACAACATTTTACACTGTTCTTTTCTTTCAAAATTTGAAGTGGATTTTTGTAGACTTTGCAGATCATTGGAAACGATCTTCTGAGTATTCATTACCTCTCTGATCTCTTGGGATTCCTTCATGACTAATGTCAAAGAGCAGGTGGAGAGAAATTGCTGCTTCCGCAAATCTCCGCCCTCCAGGATCTCAAGCTCGATCATCTTCATGTTTATCGAGCACATGTTTCTTTTTATGCTCCTGTTCCCCATGGTCATTTGGTGGTTGGGATGTATGGGGACGTCCCCTAGGGCACTTCCCACATATTTAGCAAGAACCTGGGCACAGACCCTGGTCAGTGTCTCCCATCGCAAGTCTGGGAGCAGTGGCTGTTCCATCAAGCTGTGCAATACGTCGGACCCCCAAGGCTCGTACAACCAAGTCCATGCAGCATTTCTTCTGCTCAGAACGATCATCATTGTATATGATTCTTCCATCTGTTATTTTCTCTGTTGATCCGAAACATCCGGGGCAAACAGCAGACACAGGTGCAGCTTCTCTCTGGTCACGACCTCCTCAGCCCCCTGCATTAGGATGTGGCCCATGTGTTCTCAGGTCACTCTGAGCTACTTGTCATCTCCTCTTCCGTGTGCTACAGACACTGCAGCTGGACATGTCTCCCATCCAGAGATCACTGCACCTCAGCACGGATGAAGGTCTGAGAGAGCCTGTGCCACACATCTAATCCCGACTCTCGTGTTAGTATGGCCTGTGAATCTGGGGGTTCCCTCACTCTGTCAATAAAAGGAGTCCTTTAAATGAGGAAATCACTGAAGCCGCCCAGCTCTATGAGTCTGTGGTTCTATGCATCTGACCAGCTGCTATTTAGATCATTAGCCATTTTGGGCATTTTGGGCAGAGTTGTTTTGGGGCAAGACTTCTCAACACCTCTCGAAACACCCCATCATCAGGTTCATCATGTGATTCACTCTCCATGAACCTTTTGAACAAGACCTTCATAGCTTTGGAACAATTTCTTTTGTTTGAGAAAAAATACTATTTTTTTGTTTCACTTTATGCCATTTACCTGTTTGATTTAACATAATTAAAACAAAAATCCCCAAACACTAGTCTACCAATGGCTCACAATCCCTACAGAATATATCTATTTATGTGTTAACAGTAGGAAGCCTGCGTTAATCTGACTTAACTTAAGCTAGTATTGATTTGGGCTCACGATGGTTTTTATTAACCACAGAGGACTGAATGAAGCTACATCCCTTCGATCAGTTCAGTGAGCTGTGATTATAAAATTACGCTTTGGCAAAAGATTATTTCACGTAATGGAAATTTCAGTCTTTGAGCTCAGAGCTTTGGTTTAACAAGCCATTTAATTTAATCTTTACTTTTAAAAGTGCAGAAGCCAAGAACCCTGTTTCTGTTCTTAAAATTAGGACTAGAATAGAAGGTTACTCTTCCTTTTGAAAATTATCAGGGAAAAATTTAAATGTGATTAATATGGCGCTAGTTTTATGTGCAAAGCACACCGAGGAGATGTATAATAAGTGTTTTGTCATCTGTGTCCACAAAAAAGATCAAGATATCTGGGTAACTTAAGAAACGAGGAAAATCACAAAAAGCTTTGAATGGATCTATTCTCTGTTCCTTGTGTCCAAGGGTCACAGCAACGCAGTTACGTTTAGTCATGAAGTAGTGGTGGGAACACCCACCCAACGTCAGAATTATTTAGCTGGTATCTACAGAATGGGAAGGGCACAGGGCACTCCCAGCCCCTCACTGAGGGCGACTGAAGGATTCGCTGGGATTCTTGATGCTGCACTTTTGGGGAGATGTGAGCAGGAACGTGAACACCCTTGTTTATTAAGGCTGCCCATCTCTTCTCGCCTTCTCTTCCCGCCTCCTAATTCTCCGTGCAGAGGATTTCGCTCCAGGCACACGTGTATTAAATGCCATTTCTGTATTCAAGGCACCTAGATCTCAGACCACAGCAGAGGGGCAGAGCTTCGGGAAAACACAAGGCTGTGCTGTCCTTTGAGAAAAGCATGACCCTAAAGGGGTGGAGGATGACAGAGCCAAGGGATAGAGAGGTGGGCAGCCCAGTCTCTCCCCCAGGCAGGCGGGAGGTCCAGTTTAAATGAGGGTCTTCTCAGAAAGGGCCCCAGGCCCCACTTCTTTGCCTGGACTTGTGCCCTCAAAGCTCCTTTCTCTTCCCTTGTCTCACTTTTCGCCCTTCACCCTTCAGCAGGATGCCACCTCCATCATGAAGCTTTCTGGGAGTTTTCCCCTTTGAAAGCATCTCTCATACCTCTGAGATTTAAAAGCACTTTATCTGCACTTGTCTTGTTACACTTCATCTTTCCCGATCGCTCTGAGCAGTTTCGCCCTGGCCTCACTTCACCCCTCTTAGCTACCACAGTCAGCTTCATACTGTGTCTGGTCACTTTTGCGTCCCCCTCCAGCCTCTCAGACAGCGGCCGGCTCACAGTACACATTCAATAAATATCTGTTGGATGTTTACATTAACGAAAGAGTCCAGAAGAAGATCCCAAAGTTCAAAAAAGCTTGTAAAAAACTTGTTTAGGGAAAAACAATTGAGGGGGCAGCAGAAATTCACTTTCTGCTGTTGAAGAAAAATGTGCCCTCCAGATGCCTAATAATAAGAAGGCAACTGAAATTTAAATACTGTATATCCTAAGAGGATGGAATCTTACTGTTAATTTGGGTCATTGTAGATCTTCAAATTGAATTTCATTTACAGAACATTTATGGCATTATTCCCAGAATTTTCTTGAATGCCCCCAGTGACAAGAAAATCATGACTTATCATGACGCTGCCTCAGCGCGGAAGCCTGTTAATTGTTAGATCCTTCATGCCTAGTTTGAGAAGGAATTTGCCTCCTTTTAACTTTCCCCTCTGGATTTCCAATGGCTAAGGCTCGATGACCTCAGTATATATTTTATCAGCTCAGAGATTCTCTCTCTGGACCATAAATGGGTGTCACAGCTGCAGTGGATGAGAATGAAGTAAATGGCCAGGATTAGGGACTCTACATTTTCTAAAATAGCAGACAGGATAGTTCATAAGAACACAGAGTGGTAGGAAGCAACGTCGGGAGGAAGTTTCCAGCAAAGGGACAGTTTGATGTAAAACTTCCGACAGCGTAGTGGAAAAGCAGAGCTTCCGACAACAGAGAGCTGTAACTTTGAGTCCTGATCCATCGCTGCGCTCTGTGGAATGTGGGGCAAGATATTAACCTCTCTGAGCCTCGGCTTCATTATTTTTCTAATGGTGACAATACCGTCTACGCATCACAGTACGGTGAGCATCTAATGAGGTGTGTAAGGCACTTAGCATAGGACTCGGCAGGTGGTAAGTGTCCAGAACGTGCTGGCTGAGACATGTCTTTTTAAAAATATAGATATCTATTTTCCAACTATAATCTTTGAAAAACTGTGACTAAATTAAAAGCACACACTAAACATGGGAAATTATGATGAGGCAAGAATTGCTCTGCGTTATCTACAAATGCAGCGATGGCTGATGTCTCTGTTTCTTCCACACACAAAGGGAGACCAGAACCCTTCGAATGTGTCGGAAATGGTGTAAATTCAAATGGTTGTAGAAGAAAGTTTTATAGACATATTATGGGGCTAAGAGCTGACAAATGTTACCTCTTGCTAAACTTTTTCCTGTCGGGTCCTCTTCTGAGGTGGCCACTGGGAAGCCACAGGATGTAGAAGGTACATCCTGACCGATGGACATTTAGGCCCCAGGGTTCCGAGCCTGAAAGGGTGCACACCCAGCAATCGGGCAACTGGAGCCGACAGTTTGACTCAAGTTTCACATCAACTTAGGTAATTCAGTTTTTCTGTGCCTCATCTTTGTGATAAAGATTATAACTCCTTGTTAGAATTAAAACAATTTTGCCAAGTTGAAGCACAGACCGACAAGTGAAAAAATGCTGTAGGAAATGAGTGATTTTTAAATATCAGAACTGTGAGCACTCACTCCATTAAATGTACCCTAAACAGAGGGTAAATTTAGACAAGTGCATGAGAACAATTTGGATGCTGCCACATTGACCTTCGTCAGCCACAGGCTGCAATGCAGGCACAGCCAGCGGGGGGCCGGGGGGCGGTGAACCCTTCCCCATGACAACACTTCCTCCAAAAGACTCTGTCTAATATCCACCCAGGAAAAGGGTTTGTGGGATTTCATGACTAAGAAGGAGACGTGGGAGAGGAGAATTAGTGCCTCACAGGCAATCTCTCCCTTTCTTCACAGGTTAACACCCTAAGTTCTAACAACTAACGACCAACAACAATGACTTCCCAGACTCCTTCAATTCTGGGGCCCCTGTGCTCTGTAGGTCACAGTGCACGCCACGGCATCATTGCACTTCTGCTTCTAGGATGACTGACATATCCCGTTACAGCAGCCATCCAGAAGCGCAACGTCAGGGCAAAATTCCCAAGGATGTCAGCGACCCTCCTGAACTTCAGAATTTACAGTGATCTAGCGAAGGTACAAAGGAATTCGTGGAAAAAGAAGAAAATACTTTAAAGGGAACATGATTTGTCAAGTCAAGATGTTCAGAAATTCCTTTGTGAAACTGTATTTTGGTAAAGACCAGGGTTAATTCTAAGGATATTGCAAGTATTCTCGTGGTCTTCTTGCTCTACAAACAAGGACAGTTAGTGTTTGTTTAGAAAGCACACGCAGCAATTCACGAAGGATGCTGCTTCTGGACAGGCCTGACGGTAGCGTCTTTAGGTAAATGGGAGGCAGGTGGAGAATAAGGGATGCTGTCCCGGTCTACACAGGGAGGGAGGGACCCAGGATAGGGAAGCACACAGACCCCCACTTGGCCCTGTGGTCAGAGAGCTGGCAGCTCTCGTCACGTAGCCGACTGGGTGAATCTTTTGCTTTTTTCCAATTTTTCTTTGGCATAAAGCCAAAGCAATTTCTTATAAAGATGGGGTGGTAGCGATTCTAGAAAAGGGTTGAAATACTCCAACTCAAGTTACTGCCAGAATTCAAGAGCACCGGCAAGTGGAATAGGAGATAAACGACACTACCGTAACACTCAGCACGGACTCTCTCGTTACCTAAGGAGCAAACCCAAGGATGCCCTCAGGGTTTTAGTGACGGCGTTTCTGTCCATTTACTTCTAACTTTTTTTTAGAATTGAGTGGGATGTGGTAGGAAGCACATTTATTTGAATTTCCTCGAGTGTAAAGGAACTTTCCTCCATCACTATTGCCACCTGCTTGTCTAAAAGCCACAGAGGAGACCAGTGCCCTTACTTTCCTCCGAGAGGTCGTTTTCCTCGGCTTCTCCTTCCATCTCTTTACACCAGCCTTCCATCCTCTTCGTCTCCGTGTGTAGCAGCTTCAAAAACCAGGAGCCATCCCTGCGGCACGGGGACATCCTTCCGGTTTCTACCGTCTCGATGGACGGTTCCAGCCAGGGGTCGGGCGGGGGCAGGTTTGCAGTGTCCACTGGGGTCCGATAGTCTTCTCTGTAGCTGAAGAGCCCCTGGGTCCGGACAGTTCGTACCGCCCCGTACTGGGTGGGCGTGCTCGGTTCCGAATGCCGCTGGAAGGAGGAACCGAACTGCAGGCCTTTGTCCTCCATGGTGATGTGTCCCGGGAAGCCCTCAAGCTCCAGGTCCGCCTGGACACCTGCCGTCACGCTGTTGGAACGCTTAAAACGCCCATGTCTGCAGAGGGGAAGGAAGACAAAGGGAAGCCTTTCTGAGTCGACTTTGTGCAACAAAACCTAAAGATAGCTTACAAAGAACATGCGTGGACCACAGCAATGTAAGAACTCAAGGAAAGGATGAATGTTTTCATTCTTATTATTAATATTTTGGTGCTTTATCCATGAAAGAACATTTGGTTTTGCAAATAATTAACCTCTAACATCTACCTAAGTCTCAGTGTCTAAACAATGCCACTCAAGATACAATGAGGTTTAACGTATCCATGAAACTACTATTTTGGAATGGTTATCTTCCTTGCAGAAATATGCTACAAGTTTACATAACTTCCACATGTTGCATATATGTAACACCAGCCCTGTGTTGCTTATGTAAACAGCATCTGCACCCTCCGGAATTTTGGTGACCATGCTTGTCACATTTCAGGACGTGAGTTTCTTCTCCTATCTGAATAACTTAATATAAATCTCCGTGAAGTCTTTTATGCAAAGTAACGAATCCAAATTCTGACTTCAGCAGGTGTTTTAAAAACATTTTCGTTGTACGTATTCGAACGGTACCCATTTCCGCACAGCCAATTACTGAAATGATTGGCAGGAATGAGCTTATAATTGGAGTTCAGATATCGCTGGGTGAGAATGGTGTGTGTGTGCCTGTGTCTGCACAGCCATACTTTACCTAGTTACACATTTGGGCTCCTTACCAACTGAACCCGCAGGTGGCACACAGCTGTGGGGGCAGCTGGTTAATGAATTTGCCACTTATTTCCTGTGCTGGAGGCAAAGGAGATGAGAAGGAGCCACCCATGGGACCCAAGGCAGCCCAGATCCCCAGGAGCAGAAGGCGTCCAGGTTCTAAGATGTCTACAGGCAACCTGGGGGAGCCATTACTTTGTGGTCTGAATTTCTTTGAAACCAAAATCTTTATAGGTTGGGTCCCAAAACCCTCCACTATGAGCAACGTCGCCCAGGACTTTACCAACTAGATGCTAATGGGAGTTCAAGATGTAATATGTTCATTAAAATATGACTTTATGAAATTTACAAGATACGTTATTTCAAATATAAAATTAAACCATCATCCTGCCCTTGTTACAAAAATAACCCTACTGTAACGGACACCCCTGTGTTCCACAGTTTGAGGTAGTTCTTTTGAAGTGAAACACTCATGGTATAGCTAAGGTCTTGAACTTCCTTCACCCTCTCTCTCGTCTTTCTGTCCACTTTGAACACTATCAAGTGAGAAAACAGGCATTGGCTTCATCCTCAGCCCATGTTTTCCCTGTGGACAAAGGACTTTGACTTTCAGGGCTGTCAGCCGCTCTGCTCTCATAGGGGGTAAATTACTTTAGAAAGAATTATTCCCCTGCCTCCCGCAAAAACAAGACACAGGCGGATGCTAATTCATACTTGAACGATATAAATTGAAAAGTATAAATATATGACCCTGTTTCCACAAACGGCATGAATTATTGATGGGCAGTGCGATCTAGAGGCTTGCAATCAGGGTTTTAACAAATGGCTCCAGCCGGGGAAACGGCATCTATCTGGAAGGGGCTGAGTTACCGCTTCTCATCCTCCACCTGCACGCCGACAGAGTGGTACTCCCGCAGGCCACGGCTCTCGGTGTCCGAATCGGTAGCTGTTTCCACCTAATTCAACACAGAACATCTCATTTTAGAACTGAGACCTGGGACCCGGGCAAGGGGCTGTTTGCGTGTGTGTGTTCACTCGCTGTAATTAATTACTCGTCTGTGTAATTAATGCCGAGAAGCCCTCGGCGCAGTAACATCACAAAGAGGGAAGGCATTCATACTGCTGTCATGGTGCTGCTACTGTGTTTCATCCCGCTTTATGTAACTACTTGAACTCAGCGCTGCACTCGGGTCTTTTAAATGTGACCAAACAAAATTGCTTAGTTCAGCTCAGGAAAAAAAATAGGCTTTGTTGCAGCGCGTTATCATAGGACGGGAAAGCTCTTACCAAACCCTACAGTGAAGAAGGTTAAGTACAGCATGAACCGGATAGAGCTGAGGACAACAAATAAGCGATTTAATAGAATTATACTGATGGCTGCATCCACATACAGAAACACACGGAAAGGAACTTAAGCATTTCTCGGGGACACGGAGGCAGTCTCTCCCTCTGTTCTACAGGTAACTGTCTCACATTCGCTAACAGGCCCGTGCCCAGCTGGGTGAGGTTAGAACGGAACAGACATCGTGTATTCTGCACAGAATCCTTATTGGGGCCATTTTGCCAGAAAGTCTCCCCAAACCCACGAAGCACTTCAGTGATGGTCAGCAGTGTGAAGTTGACACATGAAGGAATTCTAGTACAGCACGTTTTCTAAAAAAACCCCAAGCTCTCAGTACAAAAAGTCTGTGAAACCAAAGGTTAGTTCAGTCATAAATATTATCCCAGATACTCAGCCAGCCCTTTCCTTTTCACAAAAAATATCACCTATTGTACCAATAGGACTTCTGACCCCAATCTAAAATGTCGTAACTAAGCTGTAAAACACATTTTTTCTTCAAAATATTAATGATCACTACAGGGGTAAGCTATAAACCATTAAACAAATAATTACGACACTCTCTTCTGTGAGTTACGAGAGAGAAGGTGTTCTTTACAACTCTGATTGTAATTTGAGATTGCCCTATGGCAAAGTGTGTGCCATCGAGGGCTGACTCAATTCGTCGTGAGTAGAAGTAATGAAAATAATAGCTGATCTTCATTTTATGCTTACCACTCACCAGGCGCTGTGCTATGGCATAATAAGTATTTTTGCACATACTCCACACGATAGCCCTGTTGTGGTTTCTAGCCACATTGGACAACTGAGGAATCAGAGAAGGTGAGTAACTTGCCCAGGGGTACACAGCTTGTTGAGGGCAGAGCCAGGATTCATGCCTGAATCTCTCTGAGCACAGAGCTATGCTCTGTACTGCTTCTCTGTGGCCAGAATAAATATGGCCTCATGAAGACCCTGGAGCTCCTGGTTAGTTACTGACCTGTGGAGGACGGCCGGGTACACCCTATTTTTTTGTTGGAATAATACTAGAAACGTGCATCGAAGTTGTACCTCATGTGTGTTGCATGTTTGGATACGTGGAAGAGGAAATAGATTGACGACAGGAGGAATAACATTCTGGAACGAAAATCCTAACCTTGGTGTTAATCATCATTTCTCCTTCTAATTTTAGGTGGGCTATGGTTTTAACAAATTTTATTGTGCTGGACAAGGAGATTGCTGTTACTCTTATTTTATACAAAAGGATTGCAATAAAAATCAATATATTTAAAATGTTACCCCATGTCTAATCAAATAGGGCAGGCTTGTGTTTTAACTGTACACAATTCCATTTTATGAATATAACCTGACATTTAATGAGTCTTCAATGGCTATATTTGGTTATTTCTAGTTTTCTGCCATTATAAATATATGCCTGCACGTGTATGAACGTGCAAACTTCTGTGAACAGATTCACAGCCCATGTGGTTGCTGGGTCAAATGTATTAGATATTACAATTTTGGTAGATATTGTCAAATTTGATAGATACATGGAATGGTGAAATCATTTCATATGAATACTTTTAGAGAGACTTTTGTCAAGAGCCCTAATTTTTTATCGTAAAATTGTTCAGAATATTTGCCTCACTTAGTCCACTTTTAGGGTTGTAGTCTAAAGAAATTACGTTTAATTCAGACCAGTGTGTGACATCTTCATGAGAGCATCATTTATAAGGTGAAACGTGGGGAAAACTAGGGTGGTGACGTAGGGTGGTGACACACAGTCAAGGAGGATGCACTGACACACAGCACCGTGCGCTTACCCGACGTAGGGTGGTGACACACAGTCAAGGAGGATGCACTGACACACAGCACCGTGCGCTTGCCCGACGGTGGTTATAAGGATCACAGCACGAAAGGTGCTCATGATGCAGGGAGGACGAAGGAACGGACTTCAGGAGGTGGCATGAACGATAAAATCACAGGACACGTGTACACACGTAAAACAGACACATACCCACAGACATGTAAACATGCGCCGCAAGGGACTCACAAACACGACCAAGACACAACAGAAGAGTTTTCGTCTTCCTTTCTTCAGGCTTCACATTTTCTCTACTATAATTCTCTTATTTCTATGGTGAATGAGAAAAATATCGTTTTTGGAGCCGGCTGGATTCTCCCACTTGCTGGCCATGTGACTCTCAGGTAAGTCTTTCAAATTTTGTTGAGTTCTTTCTTCCTAATCTCAAAAATGAGGGAAGATGGCCCACCTTGTCTGATTGACGTAAAAGTCTGTGTGAAGCCCGGTTCAGGTAAGTTTGTCCACAGCAAATACCAATGCTCTGTCCTGTCCCCTCAGCTTCTTAGATCATCAGGTGAATAATGATATGGGTATTAAATTCGAGGAATGCACACAATGAATTTAACAGATTTTACAGTGGTTGTCGTATGAAACCTTTCTAAAAAAAAGGAAGGTATTTCTATTATCAGCAGTGAAGGCCAAGGGGAATCTGATACAGTCACACACGGCCAGGATGAGCTAAGTGTTTACCAATTTCAGAAATCCTGGGAGTAGACAGCTTTATATATGGGAAAAACCCAGCCAATTTAGGACAAAGGAAAGGAATTTCTATTTTGCCTGGTGGGAGGGAAGTCAAAGGAATCTTTTCCCAAGAGGACATTCTGGCTAGAAGAGTAAACGGATGTTAAAAGTTTTGAGAAATATATGCACACGCTCATTTTCACAAGAGCCGCTGTGTTCTAGGCGTTGAGAAGGACAATGAACCAGCACAACACCGTGTTTGAGTGAACTCTGTCGGGAGCAGACGCTGTGTGTGAGGGGCTCACTGAGGCATGAGGGACAGACACGGCCCAGCCGCTGCAGTGAGCGGGGCCCTTCACAGGAGGGTCTCCAGGCCCGCGGAGTCCAGAACCCACACATCACATCCCCGGGCAATGTCACAGGGCTTTACGCTGGGCCGGACGCCATGATGGGAAGGGAAGCGAGCACGTTCCCAAACGTGATCTGTTTAAGAAGGAGGTTAGTGCATCTGGTGCGTGCAAGTGAGTGTGCACATGTGTGAGTGTGCACGTGTGTGAGTGTGCATATGTGTGAATGTGCATGCATGTGTGAGAGTGAGAATGTGCTTACATGTACAGACGTGTGTGTGCGCACAGACATATGAGTGTGTGCTGGTGTGCAAATGCATGCACACGTGAGAGCATGCACGTGAATGACTGCATATGTGTGAGTGCGTACGTGTGCACACGTGTGCATGCACACACAAGCACACATGCGAGAGTGCCCTCACATATATGTGAGCGTGTTCATAGTGTGAGCATGCACAGAGTGTGTACATGTTCACACAAGTGTGCACACATGAGTGCATGCACGTGCAAGTGTGCATATGTGTGAGTGCACGTGCGCATGAGTGTATGCATATGTGTAAGAGGGTGCACACATCTGTGAGTGGTGCATGTGTGTGCATGTGTGTGTTGAGAAGCGTGAGCTGGAAAGGAGGCAGGCCCCAGGTGCTGGTCCCCATCTTGCACGTGGCCAGGTTTGTGGGACGTCAAGGGTGGGTGGGGACCTGGGAGAAGAAACCCAGGCTGGGAGCCATTACCAGAAATAGTCGGCTGGAGCTCTGATCTCAGTGTTCGCTCTCTAAACTCAGCTCATTTTATGCTCTGCCTTCGAAACCCTGCAGGTCGCAAGGCAGGAGCATTGCTCCAGATGCAAAGTCACTGTTTCCCTGGGGACCTGTTAGAAGACCCAGAGTTAAACAGGACTTGCCTGCCTGCTGCCTGAGACGCTCCTGCATTGGCAGCCGTGGGAGCCGGTGGGGGAGGCATGTGGAAACCTGGAGGGCGCAGGCTGCCCAGGAGGGGTTCCCATCACAGTAAAGCAGCGTTCCTTATGGAGGACGCTTTGATGGAACAGCAACAGACCCGATTCAGGGTTGCTACCATTTACTCCCACAGCCTGGTGACACACAGGGTGGTAACTGCCCCATTATAAAGACGGGGCTATTCCTGAGTGTTAACCAGAGGCCAGTATCTGGGAACACCAGCCGTTCCCAGTGGACCTTCACACACACACAGGAAAAGTGAAACCTCTGCAATAACAGACACATCACATAAAATGAAAAACGAACACACAGAGAACAGTTAAAGGTCACCATCGTGATGAGAAGGGAGGCTGGGCCAGCTGGGGAAGCCGGGTCAGGAGACAGCCGCTGTCTGGGCACCCTTAGAAAGGGCCCTGCAGGAAGGGGTGGGAGGGTGTCCTGTGACGTCCTGGGAGCCGAGGCAGTCAAGACCCCAAACCCAGTGTGGCCTGTGGGGCCTGAGCGTCACAGACAGTGCACGCAGTGGGCCGTCTCCAACCCGTGGAGAGAACCGTGGTTGTAAACTGAGACCCTCCCCCGTCCACGTTCAGACGACGCTCTCCCGTCTCCCTCTGCAGTGGCTGTTCCCGTGGTTCCGGGAAGCATCGGTGGTCAGGCGGGACCCCATCCCATTAAGTGCTGGTGGAGTGTGGAGAGTGCCAGCCAGCTTTCTGTACAAGCTGCAGGACAGAGCCACCCCCTCAGTGTGCAGAATGGGGACAGGCTGCTGCTCTCGCACAGGCTCAGGGACGAGGACGCGCCCGGCTCACGGGGCCCTGCACCCCACCCCTTCTCTTCTCTGGGAAGCAGTGGGGATGGCGGGCTTGGGAATCCCACCCTCCTGGCTTCAACCTCGGCTTTGACACTTACGGCTTGGACCCGTAGGCAAGTCACTTACCCCTCAGAGCCTCAGTTTCCCCATCTGTAATTTGGATGTGAGACCTACTGGCACATAGTGTTAACACGAGTATGGAGCGAGCACGTGCGCAGAGCCAGGGTCACAGCGATGTGTCCATAGCTCGCTCTTTCACTCATCACCGTGATGATTTTTACTTGTGCGTTGTCAACACTGCCATTGACCTCAGCTGTTCTAGCGCCTTGGAGGAATCTACGAGTGTCTTTCCATCTGCTCACCTCGCCATTTCTTACTGTTCCTTTGTTCTTTGCTCTTTGAGTTGGCCTCCGACACTCATCTATCTGTCCTTTCTTTTTTCTTTTTTTCATTTTTTTTGCTGAGGAAGATTGGCCCTGAGCTAACACCTGTGCCAATCTCCTTTATTTTGTATGTAGGGTGACAGCCACAGCATGGCTGACAAGTGGTGTGGGTCCACGCCTGGGATCCAAACCTGCGAACTGGGGCCACTGAAGCAGAGAGCACTGAACTTCACCACCAGGCTATGGGGCCGGCCCCTCAGTTCTTTTTGACTCTTATTTATCCTAATACTTGCATCTCTGTGACTACGGTTTCTCTTGGCTTTTCAATTCACGTCAATCTGACAACTGCGAGGTTACAAGCTCACGTGGACGTGTGCATTGTTTTACTGCCATAAGAGACAGTTGGACCCGCTAGACATGTGCATCCCCCCGTTCACACTTATCTTCACCAGCCACTCACCCACCGACTCTCCCACTTCACTCGCATCCAACACTTACGGAGAACTTGCTATCTGCCAGGCCCTGTGCTGGGTGCTGGGTTGTCAAGAGGGGGAAGGCGCAGCCTCGGCCTTCACAGAACGCGCGGCTTGGGGACGGTGTAGGGAGAGGCTTCCAGGGGGGCTTGGCGTGAACTGCGCGTAGGCAGGCACAGCAGAGTGGGAGGGGGCGTGGAAGGACGTTCTCTCAGAGGGAGAGGCCCGGCTGCTAGAAGCAGAATGGGCTACAGGGTGAGTCAGGGGATCCTGAGGGGGAGGTGGGGGCAGGGAGCGGTGGTGTCTGATTTGATGGGTTCCTGGCACCCCGTTCCCACCATTTTCAGGTAAAATCAGCAGTTCCACGTGTTCAGAAGCTGACATCCCGACCCCCGTCCGTGGTGCGAGCAGGCAGCTGAGAGAAAGCTTGTGGAAGGGGCAGGTGAGAAAGCCAGGGGATGCGTGGGCCCAGGAACGGGAAGCTGGCCTCACTAATTTGGGGACCTCATGAGTCTTGTCTGGACACGTGACTTCAGAGCCAGAGCGACAGGCGCAGGGGCCGGGCAGCCCCACGTCCCAGCCCTGTGGCCCCAGCGAGTCTGTTGGCTGCATCAAGTTCCTGGCCTGTTTTGTGCCCCATCCTTGTCCTCATCCGAGAGGGGCTAATGACACACCCTCAGGGGTGCAGGGTCCCTGTGACATGTGGGAGCACCTAGCATAGTGCCTGGCACATAGACTAGGACAGAGAGAGGTGACAAGAGCGGTTGTATGGAGAATCCAGAAAAGGGAGTAAAATGAAATTCATGCGTGCTTGGCTTTGCAGTATGTTTGGTACTTACATCTGACCTTGGGTATGGCTGATGCTCTGGGAATTCAGAATCCTAAACAAAACAATGAAGCCACAGTGTGGAGACCTGGTGCGGAGGCCCTAGACAAGCGGGCGGGCTCCCCAACCTGCTCTCCCGCGGCCCCGTGATGCCCAGGACGGTGCTCCCCCGCTCACACCAGGACCAAGCACGCATGGCCTCAGCCAGGCGCCGCTTGCCCTCCTCCCAGGCAGCAACGAAGCCTTCTGATTCTTAAGGCTTCCGGCTGACACAGGCTGGACGGAGGAGCGACAGGAAGCACGAGGTGGACCGTGCTCCGGAAGGACTTGGCGGGAACCCTGCCTTGCCAGGTCAACACCATCTTGCGGGGGAGCCACCCAGATAAACCAGGGTGCGCTGTGTCGGTGGGACAACTGTCCTGTGAGGTCCCTGGGTGGGGAGGGAGCTGGAAAGGGTGTCTGTTGCTCAGCTCAGAGGTTTCCCTTCCCCAACTGGGGACACGGGGTGGACGTGCTGAGTGGAGTTAGGAGCCGGCAGAGGGCAGAGGGGAGGAGGGAGGGCATCGGAGAAAGGGCGCTGCCAGGTCTGTATCTTGGGCAGATGCTCGGGCCTCAACAGAGGTGGTCAGCGATCGGTGGTCTGAAACCACAGACGCGGCGTTGGTGACTACAACCAACGCCCAAGAGCCCCCCGTGGTTGGTGAAGAAGCACCTTCGGGGGCCCCACTTGGGTCCCTGTGAGCATCATATCCTCCTTTGTACCAAACAGGCCTGTCTTCTCCACTTTATTATCAATGCCTTTGTCTCCCCACTCAACTGTTTGCCCGCAAGACTGAAAAGCTTTTGAAAAATCAGGTTTGAAGAAAAACCATCCTTCCTAAGCATCAAAATGACCTACTTCCACGCTCTCTAAGCAGCCAGTGGCCCCTAGAAATGCCCTGGGGTGGGGTGGGGTGGGGGCGGGCGGGAGACCCGGGGACCTGAGCCGCGCAGACAACGGGAACCGAAGACCTTCTGGGCGCCTCACGGCCCGCGAGAGCCTCTCGCTTACCGCGAAGGACCCAGGGCCGCGGCTGGGTTGTGGCTCAGTGTACGCGATTAGCAGAGCCAGGCGGAGCAAGCGCCAGGGCGCGGCAGAGAGCGGTACCTGGATCCCGATGGAGGAGCGCCGGCTCTTGAGGAACTCCTCGGCCTTAGACGCCAGGATGGCCTTGTCGCTGGTCCGCGTGGAGCTGGTCTGGCCCTCGGAGGCGAGGCGCTGGGCGGCCGTCTCCAGGGCGAGGTTCATGGCCTTGTTGCTGTCCAGGCTGTCCGTGGAGTTGTAGAGGCTGCGGCCATCCTGCGGCCACGGGGACATCCTCTGGGCGCGGCTGTCCTGGTAGGCATCCTGGGTGGACTCGGTGCTGCTCTGCGCGGTCACCGAAATCAGAGGCTTGGAGGTGGTCCGAGGGGGCACGGGGGGCGGTGTTTTTTTATAATTAGTATAGGAGACAGCTGCAAGGAAAACAAATGTGCCAAGTCAACAAAGGCTTATTTCCCCTCCTCCCACATGGAAATCTGGCCTACATCGTGCACGTGTTCATTCCCTATGACGGTCAAGCAAGTCTATGCCTGACGTCCAGCCTAAGAAAACAACGCAAAATACGGGGGAAGCGCTGTCTGCTCAGAGAGAGTCTACACGGATGTATTTATAACAGCGAAAGTGGAATATATTTGTAAAGAAAACCTGTATGAAAAGAGAGTAGAAGGACATAAAAGGGTTAGTCGTGGTCATCATCAGGACAATACGGGGGATTGTCTCCTCTTCCACTTACCTGTATGTTCTAAAAATGCTTCTATTGGAGAAAATACATGTTATCAGAAGACTGGGTGTGCATTACTGTGTCTACACCGTAGAAGTCAACTGAGAAGGGACAATAGGACTCCAGTTCTGTCCCTGCCCAGGGCTCCTTCACCTTCAGGCCGATGACGGCCACTTCACCTCCTCCTAACCCCGCAGGACACACTCGAGTTCCACACACTCTGGCCGTATAGTAAATCCACCCAAGAAAAATGAATGCACTGGGACATGAAATTATGTTAAATATTTCTTAGAAGCTCCCCAAAATTCCTTAGATATATTTGCCAGGCTCTGAGTGTTACTTATTTTTACAGCAAGGATGAACCACTCCTGGTACTCTGTGTTGACATGAATGGGTTTCCCATTTCTGGTGACTATTTTCCTTTATCTGGAGAGGAAAAACCGACAAGTGCTTCTGACAGTGAACCTGGGCGCCCTTCACCACCGTGCAAAGCAGACGCGCCGGCACGGTGCGCAGACGTGTGAGGGCTGTTGCCGTGCTCCGTGACCAGACATGCGCACGAGCTTCTCCAGGAGGGGCCTCAGCATCATCTGTGAGCAGAGACTGAGCAACAGTTTCCTTTAAGAACTTTCAGAAATTGTGCCCAGGAATCACCATCCTGCTGCTGTTTGTGGAAATACATCATTTCTGCTGTTCTGTTCCTGGGGGTTTCAACGTATTTCCTATGGCTTACCCTCTCCGATCATCTTTAATCTGTGCGAATGGACTTTCCTAAAAAATAAAACCTCAAATGTCATCGCAAATAAACATCAGCAAATAACAACAAATGAGTTCGTCACGTCAGGACGATCTGAGTTTTAAGGCATAAAAATTGCACATGAAAATTTATGACATGTTTTAGAAGAAAGCATTGGAAAGAGACTCCGAGGGAGAAAACAGATGGAGGAAGACGGCTGTTAGAAAAGTGGGCTCGGAGCTCTGTCTACACCAGAGGAACATCTATAATCCTCTCTTTTTATTTTAAGGACATTTTTTCCAGTGTTGATCAACCTCTAAAGGAAAATTACTGAACACTGACTATATTCAGGGCATTGTCCCAGGAGATCCAGAGTTTCCCAACCTCTGACACATACTGGTTGACGTCTTAGACGTAGGTGTGAAGTCCCCTTCACGGAGGCAGCCTGTTGCCAGCAGGAATAGGCGGTCCTGCCCCGGGCATGGTCCTTCTCTCCCCTAACGTCTCTCCCATCCTTCTCTTCCCCACCATCATCCAAACTCCAGCTCCTTTCTCCCTGAATTCCTGCCTTCGCCAGGGTGGCTTGAACATCCTTATCCATGACCTGCCCCCCGCGCCTTGGTGTCAAAGTGGCTAAAATATTTTGGCTGGTTTAAGAAAGACCTTTGTCTCTGTCTGATTTCAGAAAATCACAGATGCATTCCCCTCCAAACCTCAGTCCTCCGGAAGATGCTCCTCCTGCCTCCACCTCTTCCTCTCGTCCTCTCTCACTCCCACGCCTTCACTCTCGCTAAACTTCAGAGACGGCCAGACCCTTTGCTCTAGTGGATTTTAAACCTTCTTCCCACGCGTCGTCAGCCTCTTCACCTCTCCCTCACAAACCTACAGTCCCGGCTCCCCCGCCAAGCTCCCTCTCAGGTCCTCCCATTAGGTCCCCTGGATCAGCCAGTGGTGCTCAGCTGGGTGATCCTGTCTCCTCTCTCTCCCAGGGGACCGTTGGCCATGTCTGGGGACATTCTCGGCTGTCACACCTGGGGTGGGTGGTACTACTGGCATCTAGTGGGTTGGGGCCAGAGATGCCGCTCAGCATCCTCTGGGGCACAGTCGGTCCTCACCACGAAAAATCACCCAGCTCAGAACTGTCAGTAGTGCCGAGAGTGAGAAAGCCAAGGTAGGCAAATCATTTCATCTTGCTGGGTGGGACTCATTTGCTCCTCTGTGCGATGAAGGGACACGTGTGTGGGCAGATCCCGTAATAACTGTCCTTCTCTTTGGCTATCAGCTTTGACGATTCCCTCTTCTTCGCAACCTGGTATCAGGATTACCGGTTAGAGTGCATTCGCCTGCCCTTCACAGTGGTGGCCCGCTTACATTCTGCTTTTTACCAAGTGTTTCTCAGTAGTATTTCATAGAGTTGCCCTCTCGAGGGTGTTAAGGGCTACATATACACAGGAATAGGAGAAGCGGCAGGTAAAGTGGGAAGGAAGCTCAGTAGGATGGAAACCAGGTGGTCGTTTTCATGGTAACCCATCGATGTGGTTCGTTTACTGAAAGAAGAATCTTTATCCTTTAAGAGCCTGTCTCCAGAGTCTACGGATCCAGCAGAAAGGAAGCCCAGCCACCCACCGTGCTCTGCAGAATAACTGTGTCTAGGCGCTCTTGATAAAACCTTGCACCACAGAGTGAACTCTGCTTTGGTTCTCTTAAGCAGAAATATTGGTTCTGAAGAAATTTCATGTCCCAGCAACAGTGGGAGTGACGATGCAGGGTAACGGAAATACAGGAACATGGATGAGAAAGCTATGCCTATCTTAGCATAGTTCTGTTTCTCTTCACAGTGTTGAGATGAGTAAAAAGGTTACAATAAACATGCCAGACGGGCCGATGTTCCCAGCTGTGCTCTTCTCACCCATGATGATGCCACCCGCACAGGCACCGTGACGCCGCCTCACGGGCACATACGGCAGAAAGATCCCACAGGAAATCGAAGCAAACCCACGCAGCAAAGCCATCCTTGTTTGGCTCGCTAACTAGGTCATGGTTATTCTTAAAAGTTTCCCTTCACTCCTGTTCAAAATGAGAAATCTTACCAAACGGATCCAGTACAATTTAAAGAGTCGGAAAATTTGACAAAACAATTAAAACTTCTTCCCTGTGTGGATATCTTATAAATAAAAAAAATACAGAGTGTTATGATTTATCTCCATGATCACAGGAAATCTAATATCACATCTTCTCACCTTATAATGTGTTCGCGACAGCATGATAATATGAATTTGTAAATTGATTTCCTTGTAAAAATGTAGTTGGGCAACATAATTTCTTAACAAATTAATTAAAAAGGGGCCATCATTTCTAGAATTGACTTTACTCAAGCCAGGGAGGGTGAAACACAGGCGCTTTTCCTGGGTGACAAGACAAAGAGGTTATGCTGTTTTTAAACCTGTGTGCACGTGCCAGGTTCCTTGGGACCACTAAGTGGAAACATGCTCTGACGCATTTGCTGCGTCATTTGTCCAGAGCGGCATGGGTGGTACAATGTTGGTGGAACCAATTTCATAGCAGATCAGAGAGACTATTACTGATTGGCTTAATTGGTAAAAGTTATAGTTAGAACTTTTCTGGAAGAGTAATGTTCTTTCCCATGTCAGCAAAGCACAGATGTTGGAGTCTTTATTTAGGCTACTCTATTCTCCTAATAAACAGTTTAGAAAGTACATGCAAATACATGTTTTTTTTCTACTGCTTAAAAAATTCAACTGCTTACTGGCATTGAACCCATATAATCATTAATTTTCACTGTCAAGTCATTGATGGAGATTTTATAAAGATACACAGTCCGACGTGAGGTGTTGCTATGGATGCTGTTGTTATGGACGTTCCAAAAGCTGCAGCTCAAGGAGACTGAAGAGACCTTACAGCTTCTTTCATGTGGGACCAATGTCACTTGACCTTCAGGCATCATCTGTTGCTATAATACTGTAAAATTCACTGGTTTCAGTGCTCATGTATCTAGAGCCTAAGACACCGGCTCCAGTGTGCTCACAATCTAATTGAAGAGATGGGCAAAGGAACCGAATATGCATTGGATTCTAGGAAAATCCTGAGAAGAGAATGACCCAAGAGTCAAAGGGAGGCGTCCCAGAGGAGATGGCCTTGGGGTGAGTCTTGGAGGATGGACCCAGCTGGCCCTGTGGGAAAGGATGAGTGGGGAGTCCCAGCAGAAGACAGAGCTTGTCCGTTCCACGTGTGGATGCAAGTGTGCATGGACTCACGGTGCTTGAACTAGAGATACAGTACTGAGTAGAAGAGGGGTCTAGAGTCAGTAGGTCAGTACTTACTGATAAAAAGACTCTTCTTTCACTTAAAAGAGACTTTAAAGTTTAATTTGATTTTTCGCCCCTGGTCCAGAGACTCTCATTGGAGGGCTAAATTGACTAGTTATACTAGTTTTTTGGGGATGCAGGCTACTATGTCTTTTCCTTATAAGTGTCATAGAGTTTTCTTCAGTTTATTTACTTCCTGGGGGAAATGTCACATGACCCTTCTACCGCTCTCTCCCCTCAAACGGACAGTCTGCTTTAATGTTCGAGCTCTCGCTTTGTTTCATTTCAGTGCTCTCATATCTCGACCTGTCGGCGCACTTGTTCAACTTCTTGAACACGACGCCGACTGTTCGATCTCTTAAACTCACTGCAGTTGACCTGAAATTACAGCCTCTTAGGACTCACAGACAAGGATGCTCACAGATCCCTTCCACCAAAATCTTTAGAAAGGGAAATTTCACACTTCTCCTCTCTGGTTCTGTTAGAGCTAAACTAAATTTTCCTTGTTTTAGACTTAAAATGACGTAATTGTGTGACCCTGGAGAAATTATCTTCTCTTAGCCTCAGTTTGCTCATCTGTAAACGGAAACACTCATGATACCACCTTATCTGTTGTCTCGAGAATCAGGA